TTTGTGGTTGTTGTTGGTGATAAATTAATGGTACAGATTCAGTAGAGTGATTATCTACTATGTGTTGTTGGTGTTGATTATTATTATTATTATTTACAAAAAGCATTTCTTGTGGTGAAGAAACAGATGAAGGTGAATGAATATCATGAGTATTATTGTTATTTACTTCTAAAAAGCTATTATTGCTACATAAGTTATTTTGTTGTTCTTGGTTACTAGTATTACAATTTTGATTATTATTTTTATTATTTTCATTTTCATTTTCTATTCCAGTTGATGTATAAAGAAGCTCGAATGACTGGTTACCATGTTTGATTTCATTGATACTGTCTTTATCACTATCATCTTTGTTGTGATCATTGATTGATGAATTGTCTAAAAATTGGGATGACTCTATGGTTGAATCGATTTGGGCGTCGTCAACTAAAAGCTTTCCATCTTCGCTTACCCCGGTCAATAGATTTCTTTGAAGATCAGTATGTGATGTATGATCTACAATATTGCAACCTTGGGTAATATCTGAAAAAACAAATTGGGTATCCATCATTTTTGTGTATATATGTGTGTGTGTTTATGTATGTATATATGTGGATATTTAAAAAATAAAAAAAGAAAAAGATTTTACAATGGTTTTTGCTATAAAGAACGAAGTAATTTTTTTTTTTTGTAATACAATGTTTTTTAATATTGGAATTTATTTGAAAATATATTTTAATATATAAATCTTTTTTTTTTTTGCTTTGTCTTTTATTTGAAAATATGTTATTATATAATAAATATAAATTTTTTTATTAATCAAAAAAGAAAATTTAATTTTAAAAATAAATTATAAAAAAAACAAAATAAATGTTTTAATAAACTATTGGATGTAAAAATAAATACTATTGTCACCAATACACCTCTGCTATTATTGGTGTGTTTTTTTAATATATGAGAAAGAGTGAGAGAATTTCTGTATATGTAGGGAATGTGTGTGGGTTATTATTGATATTTTTTGAATTAATGTAAGTGGTAGTGGTTGTTGAGTGTGCGAGTGTGTGTTTCTAATATTATCTTTTTTTTTTATAATTTTTTTTTTTTGAATTTTTAAAAAATTAAAAAAAAAAAGCTTTTTTGAAAGAAAGTTTACTAAAACTACAGATCTTTATAAATACAAATTTTTTTTTTTTTTCTTTCTTTCAGATTTATTGAGATGATTTGTGATGTTGATATGATTAAAGTTTAAATTTAAAATATATAGAATAGCTAAATTTGATGAAGCTGATTATGATTTGATGATGGTTATGATGATGTTGGTGATGCTGATGCTGATGGAACAAAGTGATAAAAAAAAAAACTTAAAGATTTTTTAATACATAATAATAGTAATTTAAATTTAAATTTATTTTTATTTTTATTTTTATTTTTATTTTATTTTATTTTTTTAATTAATTTATTTATATAATTATATTTTCTTTTTTATTATTATTATTTATTTATTTATTATTTAATGATACATAAAATTACAACACATATGATAAATTTTGGTAATACTACAAAAACACAACTAGAAAAGAGAAGAAAAAAAAAAAAAAAAGAAAAAGTGTTTTTTTTAATGTGATTTGGTGCAGGTCTTTTTGTAAAATAAATTTTAAAAAAAAAAAAAAATTTGTTTTTAAAAAAAATAATTAAAAAATAAAAAAAAAAAAAAAAATAAATAGATTTTTTTTTTTTTAATAATAGAAACCATCCATGGGTGTTTGCTGAAAAGAATTGAAAAAAAAAAAAAAAAAAGATTTCCATTTTAATTATTGGGGGATTATATTATTATTTTGGTGTAATATAAAAACAAAAATATCCCTCATTACTTAATTATTTTTTTTGATCCCAATATAAAATATCAAATCAAGCATTTTGATTTTTTTTTTTCATTATTAAATTTTTCATAAATAATTTGATTATAATAATTGAATAATATCTGAAAAAAAATTTTATTTATTTTATTATTTTATTTTTTTTACAATGATAAAATTACTAAAGTTGTGTCATGGCATCTATCAACCACAAGTAAAGAAACTCTATTGGTTCATTATTGAGTGGCTGTTTTTTTAATTTTTTTTTTTTTAATATTATAAATAAATACCACCTAACCTCGGTAAAAGGGAATAGCTTGTTTGTTGTTTATAGTGCCATTGTTGTTGCTATTGTTTTTATTATTCAGTTATTGGTTAATATTAAAAGAAAATTAAAATAGTTTTTTTTGAAAAAAAAAAATAAAAAAATAAAAAATAAATTTGTGTAAATATTTTTATTTATTAACTAAGATTATTACTGTGTCTATAACAGCAAACAGTAACATTGTCACATGGGATTTTAAAACTTTGGCACCGACTTTCTACAACACTTAACTGATTATGTTTTTGAAAAAAAAAAAAAAAAAAAAAATTAATATAATTTTTAATTATTATAAAATAGATTAAAAAATAAAATAAAAAGTGGTTCTATACATACCAATAGATCAGTTAATTCTTTTGGACTTGATGATTTCTTAATATATTTTACAATTGTTTTTAAACACAAAACATTCCAAAGACCATCACTTGCCAAAATTACATAATCTCCAGGTTTTAAAGTTTCACTAAGGGTTTCTGGTTCTGATGACACACCATATTTACTTAAAACTATATGCCCGAGTGCTCTACTCATATTTAGTGCCAACCTTTGTTTCATGATGTCTTCATTTGAATAGTCCAATTTATTTGGTATCACCCTCCAGCAACCACATCTGAAAACCACTCTACCACCTGTAGATGTAATACGTTTTTTTTCTTGAGAATTCTCTGGTTTATGGTCATTGGAAAGTTGAATTGGCGTGTAGTCTTTTCCATTATTAAAACTTCTAAATAATACTGCCATTGAATCACCTACCCATCCGACTTTAATTTGATCGTTATCAATAATAGCTAAGGTTGCTGTTGTGCCCCAATCTCCAGTCTCTTTACCTTTATCCAATAGTATTTGGTTTGCCATCTGGAATGAGCTCCTAATGCTACTATCTTTAAAATTTTTAAAAAAAATTGAAACTATTAGTTAATTTGATTTTGGTTTTTTTTTTAAAAAAAATTACTTACCATAGTCTTTATTATTATTTTCGTCAACATTCTCTAAATTCTCTTTTGAAAAATAGTTTGAAATGACATCTCTTGATGTCGTTGAAGCAAGTACACCCTCGTCCCCATGTCTATATTCAATGTTAATTATTAGTATTATTACAATATATACAAAATTATTTTGTATCATACCCATCAAAAACACCTATTATTCTTATTTTATCGGCCTCTAAATTTTTATGAAAAAAAGAATCTTGGTTTTCATCTCTAGTACCCAAAATTGTATTGCCATTGTAAACTAAATCCTCGTTTATATAGCTAGTACTACTATCATTACCATTATTACCATTATGATTATCATTATTGTTATTATTATTATTACTTTCACTATTGTTATTGTTGTTGGTATTATCATTATTGTTGTTGCTATTAGTATTATCACTATTGTTATTGTTGTTACCATTACTATTACTACTATTATTATTATTATTGTTGTTGTTGCTATTATTTGAACCACTTGTTTTTATTTTTGGGTCATTACTATTATCTCCATTACTACTACCCATTGTTGAATCAATTGTTAAACTTTCTAAATTTGGTTTATAATCATTATTTTCTTCTATACTATTTACATCTTCTTTACTTGTTTGTTTTTTATGTTTCTTTTTTTTATTTTTACTATTGCTTTTTGTATTATTATTATTACTGGTGTTGTTGTTATTATTTAATTGGTTAGGGCTATCAATTGTTAAATCTAGTGGGGCGGATGCAGTATTTTCTGTGGTTATATTTTCTACTTGTCCTTCATCTTCGTAATCTTCTTCAAACTGCAATCTTTCTCTTTTTAGGGGCGAGGTTTGATCTTTTTCTTGGCTAATGCTGATGTCGGTTCTTTTGGCAGGACTTTTTTTAATTATGAATTTTAAATAGTTATCTGATATCCAAGATATTTCATAATTACAATCACTTGCTACTGCTGTTTCCATTGTTTAATGATATTATTATATGTATTTTCCCAATAAAATAAAAATAGAATAGAAAAAAAAAAAAAAAAGTATTTGTTATTTAATTAAACTATGTGGTTTAGAAATAAACACTGTTACTATTGTTATTATAAATGGTTTTCTAGTGTGTATCGTTTATTGTAATAATTAAAATAATAATAATATATGTTTTATTATGACCGATTTTTAGTGAGTTATTTTTCTTTTTTTAAAAAAATTAAAATAAAAAAAAAATTTTGGATGTTGTGTGGTGTGGTTTGTATGTGTATGTGTATTTATTTTTTAACACTATATTAATTATATAAATATAATTTAAAAAAAAACACTATATTAATTATATAAATATCATGAAAAAATTGTGTGTTTTTTTTTTTTATTTTTTAATTTTAATTTTAAAAAAAAAAAAATTTTAATAAAATAAATTAAAATTTTTTTTTTCTTTTTTTTTTTCAATTTTAACATATAAGTATATTTTATTTTAAAAATTAAAATTAAAATTAAAATAAAAATTTTAAACAATTTTGGATATACACACATAAACACCCAAGGATCCAAAACATTCATACTGCATTTTCCTATTTTAAGATATTTCTTTTCCTTGTTTTTTATTTTTGATTATTGTTTATAGATTGATTATTGGGGACTACTATCACATCTTTTTCATAAATAAATTTCAACCCAAATTTTTTATCAATTTTCAAAAAATGAATGATTTTTATTTTATCATCTAAATATTAATAAAATAAATAAATTATAAATAAAAAAAAAAATAAGGTCTTTTCTTATTAAGATGATTTTGGTTATTTAATTTGGTCACTTTTAATTTTTTTTTGATGATTTTCGTTGTCCAAAAACAAAATTTCATAAATTTATAATACTTAAAAATGTCCACTTAAATAAATAAAAATTTACTTAATTCTAACCAGGTTTCATAATTTTCTTTTTGCTAAAAAAAAAAATATAAAAAAAAATGGTACGACTTTTTTTTTAACATAAAAATTTGGACTGTTTTTTGGTTCATTTTAAATTATTTTTTTTTGATTTCTATTATTTCACCTAAAATATTGATTGAATTCACTCCGCAATATGAAATTAAAAAAGATTAAAATCAGATACACACAATCGTTTTCGAAAAATATCATTAGTTTTTTTTTTTTCGTATATTGCAAAAAAAAAAAAAAAAAATATTTTCAAGATATTTTTGAAATGGTAATAAAATAAAAAAAAAAAAAAAAAAAAAAAGATATTTTATTTTTTTTCGTTTTTTATTTGCTTTTTTAAAAAAATTTAATTTTTTTTTTTTCTTTTTTTTTTTATTTATTTTTATTTTAAAAAAAAAAAATTATCATCATCCACATTATAATAATAATAATAATATCAATATTTATTTATATCATAAATATCGTATCATCACTATTTTGTTTATTTAATTCACCAAAAATTATATATATGCATATTTATATATTTTAATATTTTTATTTTTATTTTGGTGTGTTTTTACAAATTATCATATAAATCTAAAACTTTATTTTTGAAACTATTTATATTAATCGATCAATTTAAATTTATAATCACATTAACTATTTTTATTTATATACAAAAATTTTTAATAATAACATTTTATAATCATTTAAAGTATAATTATATACATTTAAAAAATTTTTAAAAAAATTAATTTTTAATTAAATATTTTTTAAAAACAAAAAACAAAAAAATTATTTATTATAATAATAATTATTATAAATATCACAATTAATCATTTATCAATTATTTTATTAATAATAAAATAAAGTAAAATAAATTAATTTAAATTTAATTTAAAATATAGTAATATAGTATAAAATAAAAATACAATAGAATAATAATAATAATAATAATAATAAAAATAAAATAAAATAAAATAAAATAAAATAAAAATGAAGTGGCATCAATTAAATATCGAAGGATCAATTCCACCAGCTAGAATATCAGCAAGTAGTAGTATAAATGATATTGGAACCATTGTGTTTTATGGTGGAGGATCACCATCATCAACAAATAATTATACCGATTTAGCATTTATGAGTGTTGGTGTTGGTGTTACAGATGAAATTGCTAAACCACAAAATACAACATCAATGGGTAAATTAAATAAAATATTGGGTTCAAATATAAGTAAAAATTGCCAACAATTACAACAACAACAACAGCAAATACAACAAGGTTTTAGCAAACAAAATGGTGCATCAAGAAAAACTTATTCAAAACTACCACAATACTCTGGTTCAACTATATTTCACTGGGAAAATTCAGTTTGTGAATATGCTGCCAATGAAAACCCAGGAAATAGAGTTAATCATTCATTAACTTCAATTAATTCAGGTGGTTATAAAGGTAAAATTTTATTAATTGGTGGTCAACTTTTTGATAATTGTAACAATATCAGTTTAAGTAATGATATTTATTTATTAGATTGTGGTATGTAAAATATTTTTTTTTAAAATATAATACAATAATAATATATTAATTTTCTTTTTAAATTTATAAACTATAGAATCATTATTATGGGTTAAATGCCCATCGACAGGAACATCTCCATCACCAAGACATTCACACTTTGTCCATCAAATTTCCAGTGATACATTATTATTATATGGTGGCATTGGTGATTCAAACCAAATTCTTAATGATGTTTATTTATTAAATTTATCCAATCAAAGTAATTATTTTATCAACACTATAAATAATAATCGTTATAAATAGTAATACTAATATAAAATATTCTACTATGATTTTAGATACATTAAGATGGAGTCAAGTAAATGTTTTTGGTACCGTATTTAGTTTTAAAGATAAAAATTATAAGGTTTGTGTTTGCAATGGATTTTTATGGGTTATTATATCAGAAGGATTAGAAATGTATAAATTAGATTTATCAACTTATCGTTGGAGTGCAGTTCAGTATCATGGTAGTTTCCCACGCTTCCAAAGTGAATATACATCGATTGGAGGTTGTTTCGGTAGCATAATTTTATTATTGGTTGAAAACGATATATTTTTCTTTGATACCAATCCAACAGAGCTCGTATGGGGTGAATTAGAAGTTCAAGGTGAAAAACCCATGAAAAGAAAGTTTCATTCAGTTTCAATGGTTGATTCAATGTTAATACTTGTTGGCGGTCAATATGAATTACCATTATCAACCATTTCAACAAGAGATATCGAAATGATTGATCTTAAACCATTATTTATTAAAAAGAAAATTATTAAATAACAAATAATTTTTTTTTATATATAATAAATAATAAATAATAAATTAATAAATAAATATTTCGAAATTACTTTCTTTTTCAATAATATCTATATCTTTTAGGATTTCTATATTGATATTGAATTCTTTTAATTTTTGTAAATAAAAAAGAATCTTTATTATTTTACAAAATAATTGTCCAATAAAAAATTTGAGTATTTTCTATCTAGTTATAAACTGTTGGAGGAAGGAATGGTCTTGGTGGAAGAGGTGAAATTTTTTCATGTTTCATATAAACCATAAATTGGTGTGGGATTTCTTTTAATACTTCACATGCTAATTGATATGGATCTGCTGCATAATTAGAGAATGGAACAAATTGAACTCTGTGTACAAAAAAAAATTAATATTTTAACATTTAAATTTTATATTGAAAAATATTAAAAACCTACATATCCCTTTTAGCTTTGTGACCATCAGAATCAACTAAAACACCATCGTCACCATCTAAAACATTCATTTGAGAAAAACCACTTGAACCAACACCAACACTAAAAGTAATGAATTAATTATTTATTTTTCAACCATTATTTAATATAATAAAAAAATACATACATAATAACTGATAATGGGGCTTTTGAGGCTTCGACAATAGCTGAAATAGTTTCTTTTTGATCTGAAATATCGCCATCTGTTAAAATTAATAAAATTGAATAACGTTGTTCATTTGATTTACCAAACTTTGTTGCTTTTTTATTTGCATATTTAATGACTTCTTCAAAGTTGGTTGGAAAAGAAAAACCAATGTTTTCAATATTGGTCACATACATATCTAAAACACCCTTAACACCAACGGCTTGTTTAACCCCTGGATTTAATGAGAATGGAAAGCAATGGCTAGTTTTACCACCATCTAAACTACTGTGGTAACCACCAAAACCAAGTACATCGATCATACCATCAAAATCGTATGGAGCTAAAACACTTCCAACTGCTGAAATAGATTGAAAGTATTGATTAGCAGCCATATCGACAGTACTGTGTAAAATACCATTGGAAGCCGTACAGTCAATTGCAACGGTTAAATTAATTTCACAGCCACCATTAAGATAATCTAAGAATGTTGGAGCTGGAGCGACTCTTGCTTCATAAAACTTGATTACCCCTGAATTTTTATATCCAGATTTTGATGTTTTCTTTGGGTTGATAAGTTGAAATTCTCTTTTAGCACCTTGTAATAATTCATCGGTTGTAGTATCGAATGAACCAATAAAATCATGCTTTGAAGCCTTGTCATAATCATAAAATTCGAAACGGATACCCTTAAACATATCATTTGAATTAAAATCACTTAATGGTAAATTGATTGGTGCGAAGCATGGGTTTAAAGTGTTCATTATAACTTCACTTTCAAATACTCTAACATAACCTGTTGAATTTTCTTTTAAAATATAAAAGTATGGATCAGATGAAAAGAGATCCTTTTTATCTAAATTATGACCTTCAAGTTTAAGAATAATATTATGGAAGGAATTGTAAACTTCATTAGCACTAATTTGGATCATACCGGTCTTTTTGCCGTTGTATTTAATTTCGTTTACCATTATTCTACTGGGACGTGAAATGATATCACCTAAAATTAAAAAATAAAATAAAATAAAATTAATAAAAATTTAATTAAATAAATAAAATAATATATCCCTCTTCCTACCTAATGTTGTGCTTAATCTACCGATAGTATCATTTTCATCGATATCATTAAATCCCTTAATTTCTTTATCGATATCAACAACAATAAATTCAAGTGCTTGAAGTTTTTCGAAATGATAATCGATACTGATGATTTCTTTAAATTCTGGATTTAAATTCTTTAATTTGAAATGTAATTAATATTTATTTTTTAATTTTATTAATATAAAAATAATAATAATATAATTGAATCTTACATTTTTAATAGTTTCAGTTTTACCAACCAAAGCCATGCCAGTTACCTCTTTAGAGTAAACGTAAACACGTGGATCTGATTTTGAAACTAAATCTTTATTCTTCAATGAAGAACATTTAATTGATAACTCAATTTTAGTTTGTGGTTGTTGTGGTGAAATCATTCTTTATATAAATTATTAAAAAAAAAAATAAATAAAATTTCACATAAATTTTTAACTGGATAAATTAAAAATAAAAAAAAAAATTTATAAAAAATAAAAAATCGGTTAAAAATGATTTTCATTTTATTTCCCAACCTTTAAAAAAAAATATTTTTTGATTACACCAAAAAATGTTTATAACACAATAATCATAAACCTTTCATAAATTGGAAATGATAAACACAAAAAAAAAAAAAACTCAGCACCGATCTATCTGAATATCGGTCATTTGAAATAAAATTAAAATTAAATTTTACATTATCTGGGAAATATATCAATTTGACACTTTCTTTATTTCCAATCGCCTATTTCTGAATTTTCATTTATTTTGGTGCTAATATAGATTCTTTTTGAATTTTGAAAGAATACTAGGGTTGAAATTTGAGATTTAATTGGTAATCAAAAACTGAATTTATTTTTTTAATTATTTTTTTATTTGATTGAAGGTTATTTATTGACAATAATTTTCCATCCATAAATTGTTTAGTAACTTAAGGCATCCACTGCACTTTATCATATTTTAAAACAAAAACAAAAACTAAAAAAACCTTAAAATAAAATAAACAACCAATTTATATTATTTTTTAAAAATTATATATTTTTTTTATTTATGTTTTATTATTAATATTATTGTTTCTAATCCATTTAAACTGCACGTTTAACTTCAAAGAATCTACGAAGGTAATAAATTTGCCAAATGCTTAATGAAACAAGAACGCAAGCTTCAAAAATTGACCACCATAATACACGACTATTGGTACTTTCAGCAGCTAAGTAGATTTAAAATAGAGTTGTTAGTATATATTTTAAATATTACAATATTCATTGTTATTTTATTTATTTTGTTTTGTTATAGTCTTTGATTATTATTACTTACTATTTCTATGAGCAGCTTCTCTCATTCTAAAATAATTTTGTTCATTTCTTACACCAGTAACACCATCAGATAATGTCATGATTGATCTTTCAATTGGGGTGAGATCATCTATAGAGAGAAGAAAAAAAAAAAAAAAATAAAAAGTTAATAAATATTACAATTATATTGAAAAATATTTTAAAGTTGATAATAATAATTACTCTTTTTGGCTAATTCTCTGATTGGAGAGTTTTCACCAACTGATAACATAAAACTAACAGTTTTATCAGTTAATGAAGACATTTTATTGCTGAAACAGAAACTATAGATACCAGCAAAACTTGAACGAAGAGTTTTGGTACCTTCAGTTTCACGATGACCTTGATAAACGATTCTCTTATCTGGTGAAATAATTGTAAAGTCAATATCATTGAAACCACCATGAATTACTTGAAACATGACAGTGAATGATAAATCGACATCGATTTGTTCATAGATACATTCTTCAACCTTGGCTGAAACTTTAAATGAAAAAGATTGTACTAATGAATTTGAAACAATGCAAATTAAAACAATTGCAAATAATAAACTATTAGCAACCTTCATTTTTTTTTTCCTTTCTTTTCTTTTAAAATACAATTAAATATAAAAAAAAAAAAAAAAAGAATTTATATATATAAAGTGCACAAAATAAAAAATATTAGTTCAAAAAAAAAAAAAAAAAAAAAAAAAATTTTAAAAAAAAAATTTTAAAAAAAAAAAAAAATTTAATTTTGAATTTTTTTTTTTTTTTTTGATTTTCCAAATTTATTTTTTATAAAAAGGGTATATATTAATTTTAATTAATCCTATTATTTTATAGTTTTCTAATTTTGTTTTCTAATTTATTTTTTATTTTTTATTTTTTTTTTATTTGTATTTTTATAAACAATATTATTTTATTTTACTTTTTTTTTTTTTTATTTTTTTTATTTTTTTTTTTTTTCTTCCCCCAAATTTTTTTTTTAATGGAAGAATCAAACCATAAAATTAATAAATTGTTTTTTTCCGTATGGAGGAATTTATTTCTTAGATCACAAATTTCTAATCATTTAAAATTATTTATTTCTAGCAATCAAAAATTTACAAAAAAGAGTGAATTTTTAGAATATCCTAAAAGGAACTATTTAATAGATGTGTCAATAGATTTTGATGAAGAGTTAAACGAAGGTGATATTCCCGATTCAATTAAAACTTTATCATTTGGGGCCCACTATAATAAACCACTTAAAAAAGATGTTATCCCATTATCAGTTAAAACTCTAACATTTGGTTATTTTTTCAACCAACCGCTTAAAGAAGGGGACATACCACCATCGGTTAAGGCAGTAACGTTTATTTATGCATTTAACCAACCACTAAAGGCTGGTCACTTACCAACATCAGTAAAATATTTGTCATTAAGTGTGAAGTTCAATCAAGAGATTAATAAAGGTGATTTACCACATTCAATTAAAACGCTAACATTCGGTAATCTTTTTAATCAACCACTCAAAGAGGGAGATATACCACCATCGGTAGAGATTCTAGCATTTGGTAATGCATTCGATCAACCTCTTAATCCTAAGGCTATGCCACAGTCAGTAAAGGTATTGACATTAGGGGAATACTTTACCCAAGAGCTTAACGAGGGGTCCATTCCACCATCGGTGGAGATATTAAAGTTTGGCCATTTTTTTAACAATCCTCTTAAAGAAGGTGTTATACCGCCATCAGTAAGCGAGTTAGTATTTGGTCATTCTTATAATCAACCTCTTAAGGAGGGAGTTATTCCGCATTCAGTTAAATCACTAACGTTTGGTTATGATTTCGATCAACCACTCAAGAAGGGTGACATTCCACAATCTGTAAAGTCATTAACATTTATTTATAAATTTAACCAACCACTAAAGGCGGGTGATATCCCATCATCAGTTGAAATACTAGAGTTTGGTAATAATTTTAAACAAGAGCTAAAAAAAGATGATATACCATCATCGGTAAGGGTTTTAACATTTGGGGGAGGTTTCAATAGATCACTAAAACCTGGGGATATACCACCTTCGGTTAAAGTTTTAAAATTGGGTGATGCATTCAGAGAACCTCTTAGAGTTGGTGATATCCCGCCATTTGTAGAAACAATAGAGTTTGGTTATTTTTTCGATCAGCCGCTTATAGAGGGTGCTTTTCCACCCTCAATTAAAACCCTGATACTGGGTGATTGTTTTAATCAAGAACTTAAGGCTGGAGATATACCGCCATCAGTCAAAGAGTTAATCTTTGGTCAGAATTTCAATCAACCACTAAAGATTAATGATATACCATCATCAGTTGAAGTACTAGAGTTTGGACATCGTTTCAATCAGCCACTTAATAAAGGATATATACCATCATCAGTTACACATTTGACTTTTGGGTTTGATTTTAATCAATCTCTAAAAGAAGGCGATATTCCGCCATTGGTACATAAACTTAATTTTGGTTATAAGTTCAACCAAATACTCAAAGCAGGAGATATACCACCATCAGTTAAAACACTAAAGCTTTGTAAAAGTTTCAATCAGCAAATAAAAGATATTCCACCATCAATAGATATTATATTTAATTAAACCTAGCGATATGCTGCCAATAACAGTAACAATATCTAAACCCAATTAAAAATCACCATTTAAAAAAAAAACAATATTATTCTTTCTTTTTTTTATTTTTATAAAACCAAATTAATTAAATTTATAAAATCAAAAATCTTACAAATAAAAAAGTGTTTTTTTAAAATTATTTAATTTTTTTTATTTTAGTTTTTTTTTTATTATCTATTTATATATTTTTTAAAATTCTGGCATTTGTGGAGGTTGTGGACCATTTGATTGTTCTTTTTTATTTTCAACGACCATAGCTTCGGTTGTGGTCATTAATGAGGCAACAGATGAGGCATCAATTAAAGCAGTACGAACAACTTTGGTTGGATCGATAATACCAGCTTGGATCATATTTTCGTATGAACCTTTTTGGGCATTGTAACCATATTCGAAATCTCTCTTTGATAATAAACGACCAATAACGACTGAACCTTCAACACCGGCATTATTAGCAATAGTTTTACATGGGACTAAAAGAGCGTCTCTGATGATTTTAACACCAATATTTTGGTCAAAGTTGGCCATTTTAACTTTTTTAAGGGCAAGAGTACTGTAGAGTAAAGCTGTGCCACCACCTGGGACAATACCTTCTTCAACAGCAGCTCTGGTAGCATTGAGGGCATCGGTGATACGATCTCTCTTTTCACCAACTTCAACTTCTGAAGCACCACCAACACGAATAACAGCAACACCACCACCAATTCTGGCTAAACGTTCTTGTAAGGTATTCTTTTCATATTCGCTGGTTGAACGAATAATTGATTCACGAATTAATTCGACACGTTCTTGAATGGCAGATTTTTCACCAGCACCATCTAAAATAATAGTATCATCTGAGGTGATGGTAACTTTCTTAGCTTGACCTAACATGGTAATATCGACATCTTCGAGTTTAGTTCCTAAATCTTCACTGATAACTTGGGCACCAGTAATAACGGCAATATCTTGTAATTGAACTTTCTTGAAATCACCAAAACCTGGGGCTTTAACGGCACAGACTTGAAGACCTCTTAATTTATTGAAAATTAAAGCAGTTAAAGCTTCACCTTCAATGTTATCGGCAATAATAAGTAATCTTTTATGTTTGGTGTGAACAGCTTCTAAAATTGGAACTAATTGTTGAACATTTGAGATTTTACCATCATAAACTAAAATTAATGGATCATCAAATTCCTATAAAAAAAAAAATTAATATCTAAATATTGATGATGAGGATAATATTTTAATAAAATAAAACTTACACATTTTTGGTGTTTTGGATCAGTGATGAAATATCTTGAAATAAAACCTTGAGTGAATTTCATACCTTCAATAATTTCCAATTCATCTTTTAAAGTTTTACCATCTTGAACAGTGATGACACCTTCTTTACCAATTTTTTCCATAGCGCTGGCAATTAAATTACCAATAACTTTGTCACCATTGGCAGAGATAGTGGCAACTTGTGAAATTTCTTCAGTTGATGAAATTGGACGTGAGAGTTTTTTTAATTCTTCAACAACAATTTCAACAGCGTGGTTGATACCTCTCCATAAATCCATTGGGTTCATACCAGCAGCAACAGCTTTGCAACCTTCAGAGTAGATAGCTTTGGTTAAAACAGTAGCAGTAGTAGTACCATCACCAGCAATATCGTTGGTATTTGAAGCAACACCTTTAACTAATAATGCACCTAAATTAACGTGACGATCAGCGAATTCGACGTGTTTGGCAACGGTGACACCATCTTTAGTGATCTTTGGAGCACCAAATGGTTGATCGAGAATAACGTTTCTACCTTTTGGACCTAAAGTGACTTCAACAGCTGCTGCTAATTGTTCAACACCACGTAACATTAATGCACGACATTCGGCACCAAATTTAATATCTTTACCACTTGAGTAGTTTCTAACGAATTGTGATGATGACTTTCTTAAAACTTGACGAAACATTTTATGTTACTTTTTTGATTAATTATTTAAATAAAATTTAAAAATAATAAAAAATAAAAAATAAAAAAAAAATGATAAGTTTTTTTTATTAAATTAATTAAAATTAAAATAAAATAAATAATGTAATTAAAACAAAGAAAAAAAAAAATGAAATTAGTTTTCTTGAACGAAAAAAAAAAAAAATTTTAAAAAAAAATTTAAAAAAAAAAAAAATTTTAAAAAAAAAAATAAAAAAATAAAAAAATGAAGTTTTTTCTGAAACGCGTAATGTAATATAATTAAATGATTAATTTTTTAATTAATATAACTTTAAAATTTATTTAATTCTAAAAGAATTCAAAATATCAAAATTTAAAAACCACCAATGAGTTATGGTAATTATAATTGAATTTTATTTATAATTTTAACACTCCCACATATTGCAAAAGGGGTTGGGGTAACAGGGTTTTTTATTTTAAAATATGTGATGTGGATATTCAATAGTAGAAATTATTTTAACATCAAGTATAGATCCATAAGTTATCATATAGTAATCATTTAATACAATTGTCAGATCTAGTGTAAACAACCCAACGAAAATCTTAAACAAAATCTATATTTAATATTATAATAACAAATAATAAAATATTCAAGATCATAAATAAAATATCTAAAGAATCATAAAAATAAATAAATAAAAGTTAGAAAATTTTTTTTAATATTTTTTTTTTATTTCTATTTTAACATTAATAAATAATTGATTTTATCTATTTTTTATTTTTTTGGTTTTTTAGTTTTTAGTTTTAGGTTTTTTTTTAGTTTTTTTTTTTTTTTTGATAATATATATAATTTAATATATTAAAAGCTATATTTACTATTATAATAACAATTATTATTATTATTATTATTATTATTATTATTATTATTATTATTATTATTATTATTATTATTATTATTATTATTATTATTATTATTATTATTATTATTATTATTATTATTATTTACTATTTTATTATAATTTATTTTATTTTTTTTAGTATAATGGTGGTGGTGGAGGAAGTAATGAATCACTATTAACAATCCAAACACAAACTGTTTTATCAAAAGAAGCGGACCAGAATTCCCAACGAAGATTTCTATTATTATAATTGAGTACAGCATCGATTACAGCATCAGTATGATAATCTTCTAAAGAACCAATTAATTGGAAAGTAGTTGAATCCCAAATTCTAATGGTTGAATCTCTTGAACAACTCCAAACTGAATTTGAAATTGATTTCAATGAGTTTATTAATAATAAATCTGGATGTGAAATTGTTTTAACAATTGAAAAATCGGTTGGATCAATTACAAATATAAGTCTATCTTCAGAACCAGCCCATACCTTCCCATTATCGTTATATCTATGATAGGTAAGGCAGGTAATATTTCTTTTAGCTGGTGTTTCCAATTTTCTAATTTCTTCACCTGTATTCTTGTCGAAAATATAAATACAACCATTAACACCACCTACCCAAACTTGATTGGATTCGCCATGGATCTCTGCAATGCTAACAATAAATTGATTTGGAATTGATATAGTTTGTACAACCTCTAAAGTCTAATCAATAATAATAAAAATAAAATTAATAAATTATAATTCTAATGTTTTTATTACTAAAATAATAATAATAATAATGAAACATTACATCACATGAAAATATTGTAATTTTTTGATCTGTACCAGCCCATATTCTATATTCTCCATTTTCACTTTTGACTGGGGTTAGTGAGGCATGTAAACCTGGGAACTCTTTAACCAAAGTACCACTTTTATTCCAAAGACTTACTGATTGACTTGTGGCAATCCATGCGTGATCTTTAATTGATGTCATAGTGTGAATTCTACCAAGATTACTATCCCATTCTTTTTCAGTTGTATAGTTTTCAGAATTAAAAATTTTAATAATACCTGCAGAGTTTGCTGTCCAAATTGATTTACTTTCCGCATCTTCAACAATTGAAATACCTTGACAAGTTTTATTAAATCCACCAACCATTTTATATAAAAATGATACTTTCTAAAATTTTTTAAATAAAATGAAAAAATGAATATTAATATGAGTCGAATTTTGATGGTTCTGTCGTCGCTTTGAAATCTTACCATATCACCTTTTGTAACTGATGGATTTAAATTTGAAAATACATGATCTTGTTCTTCAATTAAAAGTGTAACAATTAATTTGATTTTACCTGCACCTGCCATCAACTCCATCATATCAGTAGTACTAACTGCTTTTCCACCTTTCCATAATAAATTTGGACCCTAATTATTATTATAACAAAAAAGATTAATAACCAATTATTATTATTATTATTATTTTCTATTTTATGATTATGATTATTACCCAAACTAAACCTAAATTTTCTTCTGTCATCTTATTATATGATGCATTGACAGCAATTTTACCTAAAAACCAAACTAATTGTTTTAAAACTTCTTTATTTTCGGGTTTGAGTCCAGATACCAATTCACGAAGTTTTTGAATTTGACCAAGACGATCTAAAGTTAACAATGAAATGAAATGGTCATATTGATCACTTTGCAAAAGACAATCTGGTAATTCTCTAAAGTATATTTTCATAAGATCGGCTAAATCGACTGGATCTACTCTTTCTTTATCGAAATCGATGAATTCACCTTTATCTATTTGAATTTGTAATTGTTTAACCTTCTCTTTTGTACCTGCAATACGAAAGATACCCTCGATACCTAAACCATGTTGAATAATATATTTGAATCCATTATGAAGGAATAATGGTATGTTGATATCTGGGTTGGACTTTTTTTGGCTCATAATTACATCCAATAATGGAGCTCCAAAAATTTTACCAACTGTTGCTAAACCACCATGTCCTGCATAAATACTTGCTCTATTTGTCATTTTTAAACAACTTTTATCCGTATTTATTATCTAGTATATATTTTATTATATAATATATTGATTATGATTTATGTATTTATATATTTATTTTTAGATTTTTTTTTTTGTTTTTGTGTGTTTTTTTTTTACACCAAAATTATTATTTTTTATTATTTTTGCGTGGTTGTGTGTGTTTTTTTTATTTATTAACTGATAAATTAACTTTAATCAAAATAATAATAATCAAAATAATAAATATACAATTTAAAAAAAGATTTCTTATATAAACTAAAAAAATGTTTCTATTTTTTTTTTTTTTTTTTTACCAATTTATAAAAAAAATAAATAAAATAAAAAAAAAATTTTAAAAAAAAAAAATTTATAAAAAAATTAAAAAAAAAAAATAAACTTTTGAAATGGGTTGTGGTGATGGGTATTTTCATATAAAAAAAAAAGAGAGAGAAAAAAATAATAAAAAAAATAGAATATGTGTGATATTTATATAAACAAATAAAATTTAAAATTTTTTTAAATCTAAAAAAAAAAAAAAAAAAATAGTTTTTGTGGAGTTTTATCGTTATTATTTTAGTGTATATTTTTTTATTTAATTAGCGGCATTATTGTAAAATAATGCACTATTTTTGGAATCTCTGTCAAAATCTTTCTTTTTTGATTTTTGTTGATTTCTTTTTTGGACTCTAAGTAAATCGTTAAGTTCTTGGCCTCTTGGTATTTCAAAATCAAATAATTCTTGTAAATTTTCATTAATTTCCCATTGTGAGCTCATACCTGGACCAACAAGTTTACGAAGAGCATCTAATTGAATATACTTTCTCCAACCAGTGAAATGGAAAGGTAAACCAGAAATTACGATGGTTTCTTTTGGGGGTTCACCATCTTTTAAGTTGGTTAAAACTTGACGAAGTAATGATTTGGATTGAATTTTCTTTTTACCCTTTTCTTCGTTCATTCTGAGGGTATTTTCAATAACTTGGATCATATGATCATCGTCAATAATAATTTGATTGATTTGATCTTCTTCAGAGACTGCACTGTTACTATAACCGTCTTCATCGTATTCGTCACTATCTTCATAATCTTCGCCACTATGGGATGCATTGCCGCCCTCTAAACTGAGATTTTCAATATTATATGTTTTACCTTTACCAGATCTATATTCTCTTTGGATTTCTTCTTCTTCTTCACGATAGTCTTCATCTTCGTCTTCATATTCGTCTTCGTCCTCTTCTTCATACTCATAGCTGTAATCTTCGTCATCATCAGCACGACTTGAGTCTATTTCACTTTCGAAATCATCTAAAACCTTTTCTTTAACGTCATCAACAATAAGTGCAATGGCAATTGATGATGTAACTCTAAGGTTTTGTGATGATGATTTTGAAAATTCGATTAATCTGCTTAATACTCTGTAGTATTTTTTAAAAAATATTAATATTAATATTAAATTAACTATTGATCACAATTATTATTATTATTACTTACAATTTATAATCTTCCATTTCTTTTGGATTTATTTTAGTTAAGAGTAATAACCATGCATTTAAAATTTTATCTAAAATATTTTTTCTTTTTTGGGTGTATAAAAGGTCTTGGAAAATTTCGATTGTATGTTTGTATGAGTCTCTATCTGAGCAGGAATAGAAACAGGCGTTTGAAAGAGCGACTATGCAACCAATTAATTCGTTATCTTTAACATGTTGTTCACCATCTGATATTATTGAAGTTAAACTGCCTTTAATAATACGATACATTTCCATATTTTCGCCACTATTTAAACAACATAATGAAATGCATTTACCAATTTCGATTGGTTTCTCTAATCTTCCTTGATGTGATGAAAATAATGAGCATAAAGCCTCTACTAATTCTAATGGAATTTCTTCACCTCTGTTACCCTGGAGTGTTAAAATTGTATTTAAATTATAGACTGCATTTGTAATAATACTAGCTTTCTTTTCTTTTAATAATGGTATAAAATATTCGAATGGTTGATGCTTTTCGTTTAATGCTTTATGAACAGCAACAACTGCTCTATGATTACTTTTTCTTGTTCCTAAAAATTAATGATAAAAAATTTAGTTATTAATATATTTGAAGGAAATAAGATTTCTTTTTTTTTTTATTTTTATTTTTTTATTTTTTATATTTTTTATATTTTTTATATTTTTATTTTTTGATTATTATTTTTAAAAAATTAAATTTAATATTTACTAATATTCATTTTATATTATATATGTATTTTTTATATTTTCTATATATTCTATATATTCTATATTACTATTTATTTATTATCTATATATAAGTGTTATTAATAATTGTTTTTTTTTTCTATAAAATTTTTAAAATAAAAAATTTAAAAAATTTTTAAAAAAAATAAAAAAAAAAGAATATTTTTATTTTTTAAAATTTTTTTAAAAACAAATAATTTTCATTAAAATTCTCAAAAAATTAATTTAATTAAATATTAAATAATAAAATTAATATTTAGTCAAATCTTTATTCCTAAAAAAATCTTCGTTTTTAAAAACATTTTTGGTCGTATTTTAAAAAAAAATAATAAAATTAAAATAATATTATAATATAAAATAGTGTGTTTATATTTAAAATTTTAATTTAATTTAAAATTAAATTTTATTTTTAAATTTCAATTAATTGGTGTGTGTGGTTAAACTATTCTGTTTATTGTGTATATTTAAAAAATTTTAAATCTTTGTGTTGATAATTATCTATGTTTAAAAATCTAAATTATTTTTTATAACTTGCAAAAAAAAAAAATATGGATTAAAAATATATATTATACAAATATAAAAATTAAAGTGAAAATTTAATTAAAATTGATATATTTGTTTTTATAATAAATAACAATAAATAACATATTTTATTAAAATACTTTTATTAATAAAAAATTAAAAAAATTTTTTTATTTTTTTTTATTTTTTATTTTTTTTTACAATTTAAATTTAATTACCACAACACAATGGGAGAGTGGGTTAATTGAAAAATTACTAAATGAGAAAATAAATTTAATGTGAATATATTATTTGAAATAAAAAAAAAAAAAAAAAAAAAAATTTATTTATTTTGCATAAAAATTAAAATAAAAATTTAAATTATTAAAAAATTAATAATAGATAACAGGTAGATATTATAACTTCAAAAAAATAGAGATAGGAAAAAATTCATATTAATTATTTAATTTTTAGAAAATAATATGGAATTACTTAAAACATTAAAAGCATCAAGTCCAGTATTTCCAAATGACTCTTCGACAATAAAAGCAGTCAATATGACTGATCCAATAGAAACTGGATTAAAGGTAAATATAATTTAATTATTATAAAAAAAAAAAAAACTAATTTTTTCTTATTATTTATTTATTATTTTATTATTATTTATTATTTAGCAATTAATTTCAAATAATATATTATCTGCCCCAGTTTATAATCCAATTGAAAAAAAGTATTACTGTTTCTTTTCAATGTTGGATGTAATTAACGAAATCGTTCAAAACACATCAGGAAATGAACTTAATATGGGAGATATTTCAACAGTTTTATCAGTAATGCAAGAAAAGAATTTACTAAAAAAAACAATAATTTCAGATATTGCCGATAATTCGAAAAGAGATCCATTTATTGTTGTTGACAGTGAATCTACCTTGGATAAAGTAACTTGTTTAATGGTTAAAAACAACATAAGAAGAATTGCTGTATTAAACCAAAGAGGAGAACTTTGTAATGTCATTACAAATGTATGTATAAATTAAATTGTTTATTTTAAAGGATAAAGTATTAATAATTATAATTTTTATTTATAGTCCAGAATTATTGAATGCATTTCCCATTTGTTTGAAATGGATAGAGAATTAGAAATTTTAGGTAAAAGAACAATAAAAGAAATGAAAATTGGACATAAAGAGGTAATTTCAATTGAACAAAATAAAAGAGCACTGGATGCATTTAGATTAATATCAGAGATGGGTGTTAGTGGTATCGCTGTTTTAAATGAAAAAAGAGAATTGGTTGGTTCTATTAGTGATGGTGATCTAAGACTAATTAAGTCAAAATGCCAATACCTTAGTTTATTGAATCTACCAATTAAGGAATATTTAGAAGCACTTAAGAAAATTACGGATTATGTAAATATTTGTTAAATATTTTATATCATATTTTTAAAAAATGCTTATATTAATTTTTTTTTTAGAAATCCACATTTTTAACATGCAGATCCAATGATACTTTTAAAGAAATTGTTCAAAGTATAGGAGAAAAAAGAGCCCATAGAGTTTTCATTATAAACACTCATAATCAACTTGAAGGTGTATTGTCATTACAAGATATCTTAGAACAAATTGTTTTACCCCAAGATCTTTTAAAAAAAAAAAATTAAAAGAAATTATTATTTAAATAAATCATTTTAAAATCATTATATTTCTATTTTTACTGGCTCAAATTTTTTAGAGGTTTTTAATGTGGGAGGTTGTATTGTATTAAGGGAATTTTTTTTATTATAAATTGTTTTCTATTTTTTTTTTTTTTATTTTTTTTTTTTTTATTTTTAAAATATTTTTTTTTTATTATAAACAATTTCATAATATTTATAATATCAATATTTTAAAGATATATTCAATGTTGGATTATACCTGTCTTTAAAAACATAATAAATAAATTTTATATTCAATTTAATATCCTTTTTTTATCTTATTTTTATTTTATTAAGAAAAAAATTATTTTTTATATGCAGTGATACAAAAAATGAAAAACAATAACTAATAAAAATTTTATTTTCGTTTTAAACTTTTTATAAAAAGAAACATATGATGTAAATGTAAAAACTTTTATTTAAAAAAAAAAACTTATGATGGTGCAAAAAATATAAAATGCATTTTTTAAAATAATTTAAATTATTAGTTCATAGTTTGAAATTTAATTTGTTAATAATGGCATTAGTTTAGGATAAGTAGTTGCAAATTCAAATTCTACTTTGTCATCTTTTGTTACATATCCATTTTCTTTATTTAGTTCTTCACTTTTTATAATGATTTTCCATCCCCATCCATCCTCATGAACGTCTAAGTGTTATAAATAATTAATAGAATTTAAAAATAATTAATAAAAAAATAAAATAAAATATTATTTTTTTATAATTTTTATTAAATATTATTACTTACCACGATTATGGAATATACTAGTGATGTTCTTTTTTGTATATATTTTGGTATCGTTGTTTAATAAAGTTATTGAGAATGTTATGTTTTTTTGTACACTTTCAGAATGAAGATAAATACCTATATTTCCAATATTAGTTTTACTGCCTCCATTTTTATATAATCTGATATAAAATAGATCCGGAGCATATCCAAATTTAGGAGATATCAAATATTCATCAACCTTATGATTAATTTTGGAATAGTTTGAAATAATCCATTTACTTTTATACTCTTTACCTTTGGTTAATTCATTTATACAGTTTGAAAGTTGATTATTTTTAATTATTAAATCTTTTTTATCTTTAATTTATCAATATTATTTGTAAGTTGATTATTTTTAATGATTAAATCTTCTTCACCTTTAGTTAATTTATCAATCCTATTTGATAGTTGAATGTTTTTAGTGATTAAATCCTCTTTACCTTTAGTTAATTCATCAATACTATTTGAAAGTTGATTATTTTTAATGATTAAATTTTCTTCGCCTTTAGTTAATTTATTAATATTATTTGTAAGTTGATTATTTTTAATGATTAAATCTTCTTCACCTTTAGTTAATTTATCAATCCTATTTGATAGTTGAATATTTTTAGTGATTAAATCCTCTTTACCTTTAGTTAATTCATCAATACTATTTGAAAGTTGATTGTTTTTAATGATTAAATTTTCTATTGCTGTACTGAAATGTTTTGAGTGGTTTATTTGATCTAAATGATTTTCTAAATTTTTTCTTTTTATTTTATCATTGCATCCAAATTGTATTAATTTACATGAAATAATTACTTCTTGACATTCTTTATCTAAATGATTACCCATTTCTTCTCTTTTGATTTTTTCATTACATTCTTTACAGTCTATTAACATTAAGGGACATTCGAGATAATGCTGTTCAATTGTTTTTAATAAGTACACATTGGAACAATGTGTACAATTTAGTGGTTGGTATTCACATTTGGAAAAATGAATTTCATTTTCATTGTATCTGATTTTATCCATGCATCCATTTTCATGATATTTACATTTTACAAATCTAAAACTACAATTTTCAATGTGGTTATCCAATTCTTCTAATTTAATAATTTCTTTACATCCACACCCATCTTTTATTAATATTTCGCTTTCATCTACACTAATAATATTTTTGAATGAATATGGACAACACACTTCTATTTTTAATAATAAATTCTCGAGTAGTCTACTTCTTGAGAGTTCATTAAAAGAATTTACTTTAGTTTTACATTGCATACATTCCTTTTTTATTTCAAGTGATTTTTCCCAACAATCTTTACACGAACAATGACCTAGTTATTAAATAAAATAGTTGGATATTAATAACAAATATTAAAATTAAAACTATTTATTTTTAAAACCAATTACCTTGTCTACATTGATAAATTTCTTTTTTATAATATGTTTCCATACAAATTGGACATATATATTCATCAATTACAGAAGTTAATTCTAAAATATTAAAATTAATTGGTTCTCTTGACATTTCTTCCTAAATATTTAAAGTATATAACTTTTTAATAAATATAAAAAAAATTATTTTAAAATAATGGTGAAAAAAATAAAATTAAAATAAAAAATGGAAAAAAAAAAATAAAAATTTGGTGAAATTACATAAATTTAAGTTACTTAAATTAATAAAATTAATTTTTAATTTTAATTTTTAATTTTAAAAAAAATAATTATATAATTTCAAAAAAAAATAAAAATAGACTTAATATTGAATATACCACTTTTTTTATAAATATTATACCTTTTTGTAATTCATCAATCCTATTTGATAGTTGAATATTTCTAGTGATTATATCTTCTTTACCTTTATTTAATTCATCAATTCTATTTGAAAGTTGAATATTTTTAATGATTAAATGTTCAATTACTTTAGTACTAAAATTTAAATAAGACATAACAAATTGAAAAAATAAATATTAAAAAGTAGATTATATAGTATATTGGGTAAATAAATTAAATATTTAAAATTTATTTTTATTTTAATTTTTATTTTTGTTTCTTAAAGATACAAATAAATCGAATTCGTCTAAATCATTTTCATTAATTACGGTTTTGTTTGATGATTGGTTGATATTGTTAACACTTGTATTCAATGGTGGTAGGGGGTTATTATTACTGGAGTTGTTATTTTGTTGTTGAATAAAAGTACCAGGATTACTTGTTGAGGAATTTATATGATAGGAGGGAGTTGGTGGTCCAAAATCATTAAAATTATTTGATTGTGAAAGTGGAGATTGGTCAAAAAAGTTTGAAGAGTGATATGATGGTGGTGGTATTATACTAGAGCTGTTTAATAAAGGTGGTAAAACCGAGCTTGTTGAAGAAAAGCTACTGCATGTACTAGTGTTTGTATTGTTTGTTATGTTATTACTACTGTTGTTAATATTAATATTATTATTGTTGTTATTATTAATATTTTGTTGAGTTGGGGCTGGTGATTGTGATGTTACATGAGATACAAATGGTGAAAAAAATTCACCAGATTGGTTTACCATTGCTGGTAATTGACTTTGTTGTTGGTTTAATTGTTGTTGTATATCTTGATTAATTTGTGGAGTTAAAGTTGGTTCACCTAATGGCCAACCATCACTAAAAAATTTACTACCACTTGAACTTTTTTCTGCTGTTGCTGTTGGTGCTGGTAGTGGTGAGGTTGCAATATGGGTTTCTAATGGATTGTTTGAAAAGAAGCTGCTGCCACTTGAGGCAGTATTGTTATTGCTATTAGTTATTGAACCGGTTGGAGTAGAAATAATAGGGGGCATTGGTGATGAACCACTAACATTAATTGCTGATGAGACACTGCCAATAGTTGAGGAAAGTGGAGGAAGTGGGTTAAAATAATCGGTGGAGTTAATTGTGTTATTTGAGCTTTCATTTGGTGTATTGCTGGTTATAAAGTTTGGTAAGGGATTATTTGATGATTCTGACAATTTAACTGGATGTGAAACTTTTGGTAATGAGGTTGAGTGTTTAAGGTTTGTATTTAAAACTTCTTGAACTTGTGATGGAGTTGCTTGTGGAAATTCGCTATGATTAGTAGTATCGTTACTACTTTGGTTTGGATCAAATGATGAACCTAATAAGCTAGATGTTCTAACGATTGGGTTTGCTGTCGAATATGATCTATGATGTCCTCTGTGATGGTGAAGATGTGGTAAATGTTGATGGTGGGAAACTGGATTTGGGGATGCTGGAGGTGGCATAATTTTTAATCCATTACTATTATCAAGGTTATTATTAATTATATTGCTACCTGAATTATTTAAACTTCCACTGCTATTATTTAAACTATTGTTCGAGTTATTTAAACTCGATTTCTTCGAAATTGGAAGTGGGATTGAAAATTGATTTGGTGCTTCTGGTATTTTAAATAGATTTTTGTCAACAGACATTGATTTTTTAAGAGCTTCAAATTCTGAATTTGTTGGTATATAGTTTTGATTATTGAGTGTTAACATTGAAGCATTTGTAATTGTAATTGATGATGGTTTACAAGTTGGTACACTTGGGGAGGAATAGGTGCCTTCTTTTCTGCCGTTGGTTGGTTGTGAAATTATAATTTTATGTGGAACTGTTGGTGATTGAGGGTATAAAAACTCGTAAAGGTCTTCAACAACCAAACGATGCTTATCTTCAGGTGAGAATTTTTGATGCAACAAATTAAATGGAACTGATTTCATTGGTATAAATGAACGTAATGGTCTTGCGCTTTTTAAAACTCCACTAGCACTATTACTCATACCAGTTGATGCTGCTGATGATGATGATCTACTCTTTGTTAAACCATTTAATACTAATGATGGTAATTTTGATACTGATTCGCTTTGTTGAATTAATTTTCTTTCGACTGTATTTAATGCACTATTGCTACTATTAAGATTTGAAGATGTTGTTTGATTATGTTGTTGTTGTTGTTGTTGTAATTGTTGTGAAAATTGTTGAACTGGGTTATTATTATTTGCCAAATCTGATAATGATTTATGGTGGGATACTGAAGTTTTTAAAGTTGACTTATTATTATCGCTATTCATCGAAGGACTACCTAAAGTAAATGATGATGATTGACTCTTTGTAATTGATGCTGCATTCAGTATACCATTGGCTAATGATGCTAAATTTGATTTTTGAACACTTAATGCCGTTGTAAGTAAGTTTGAATGCTGTGGTGATTGTGGTGGTTGTTGTTGCTTTTGTAAATCAGCAATTGTGACGGTTTTGGCCTTATTAATTGGCTGTTGTGGTTGTTGTTGCGATGGCTGAGATGGCTGTTGTTGATTATTATTATTATTATTTATACCCATTAACGAAGCCAGGAAAGATCTATCAACACTACCATTAAATTTACTACTATTTACAGCTGAATTTACAGGGGATTTAACAACAGTTAATGATTGTTGATGTTGTTGTAATAATTGTTGTTGTCTTTCTAATCTTTCTTGTTTTTCTTTTAATTGTTGTTGTTTTAATTGTTTTTCTCTTTCCTTTTCTTTTTCCTTTTCTTTTTCTTTATTTCTTAAAGTATTATTAATTGATGCAGTAACTGGATGTTTTAAATCATAAATAATAACATCCTTTTCAAATACACCTGGTGGTGTAACACCTTGAAAGTAATATTCTTCTCTTTCTGCTATAAATCTTTCAAACATTTGTGATGCACAAAATACAGTAAAAAACTAGATAAATAATAGATGTTAGTAAAATAATATTTAACAATATAATAAATATTATGTAGAATATTTACTTTGGTTGGGGTTATTAGTTGTGAATCAATAAATGAAACCTTATCAAAAATCATTTTCTTTTTATCCATATCCTTTAAAAAGAATCTTCTATAGGTACCTAGAATTGTAACAAAAAATCTTCTAAAAGTATCAACAATATTTCTATTATCATAATGTTTATTTTCTAAATATTATTATGATCATAAAAAAAAGATTAGTATTAAAATTTTAATTTAAAAAACAAATAACTAACTTACTTTTCCAATCCATCATTTGTATATCCAAACATTGCTTTAATGGTTGTAATAAAACTGCTGGAAAAATTGCAATATCCTCAGGTAATGGTAAAACTGAGTCTTTATCTAAATCAACAAATACAATTTCATTTAATGGTTTCCTTCTAATTGGGGCAAATAATGAAGAATGAATACCAATAATAAAAGGCATTGGTGCTGTACAATAGTCCAATAATGTTCTTGGTAAAATTGGAATAAAAATATGTTGCCACGAAAATGGATCCAATAGTGATACAATTGCATTGATAAACTTGCTAACCCTTGTAATATTTTCAGAGTATATAATAACCCTTCTTTCAAATAATAGTGAAATAAATAAATATAATATTTTCTGTGAGCTTAATGTTTCAATTAATGGTTGTAAAGTTCCCTATTAATATTATAAAGTTATAGTTAGTTAACAATTGTGTTACTATTACCATCATCATCATCAATCATCAATCATCAATCATCGTCATTTGTATATTATTACTTACATCATGTAAAGATGATTTATCAGTTGATACAGGTCTTTTTAATGTGTAGGATACAGGTAAATTGGATGATTTTGCTGAAAGGAATGGATTGTCATAAATATAAACTGTGAAAGAATCACCAGGTGCCGGTATTACAGATAATAAGGATGCTGCTAAAAAGTTATGAATCTCCTCTATTGAAACTCTATATCTAGTTTCTAAAATTTCCAGCATTGAACCAAATGTGCTTGACCAAGCATGATGACTAATAATACAAAGACATTCCAATATCTTATTTCCATTGGTTGATGTGATTATTCTCTTTGTAAATCCAAATTGTTGTCTACCTTCACGATCTGTTAATACAAATGTAAACATACTGTCAGCTAATTTATTTCCATTGAATTGAATATATGACCTATCTATCTCTTCGGGAAAACAAAACAATGGTACATTTGGATCGACACTATCTGGTGGATATACATCTTTTACATATGGTATAATTGTTGAATTACCATTTGCTCCATCTTTGTCTAAAATATTAAATTATATTAAAATCAACTCTTTAAATCTATGTATGTATAAACTGATGAACTTACCTTCCTTTAATGATACTAAAAGAAATTGATCAAATAATAGTTTTTTTGACATATATATATATAGAATCTAATAATAAAATATAAAATTTATATAAATTTTATATCTTAATTATTAAAGATGGTTGTTATTTAAAAACTTTAATTTTTTAATTTATGTTATTTCTAAAAAATTAATATTTTATTACTTTCAAAATATTAATTTTTTTAAAAATTTAAGATTATTATTATTATTATTTATTGCTATTACTGTTATTATAATATTTTATTACTATAATCTATTTTCTAGCTGATTGATTGTTTTCTATTGGATTCGGGATATAAAGATTGTATAGTTTTATATGAGAGTGAGAGGGAATTATTATAACTATATTTTATTATTTCTCTATTTTAAATAAATATTTATTATTTTTTTTTTGTGTTAGGTGTGGGAATAAAATATATAATTCTTTTTTTTTTTATTATTATTATTATTATTTATATTATTTTTTTTTAAAATTTTTGGTGTGTTTGTATTAATTATGTTATTACTATTTTTAATGTGGGTGGTAATGGTGGTGATAGCGGGTCTATTTAATATATTTAAATATTAAAATTGATATAAGATAGATTTATTAAAAAAGGTATTTAAAGAAAAAAATTTTAAAAACTCTAATTATTAAAATAATTAGCCTTATACGCTAATTACTATTATTATTTTTATTATTATAATATTATTATAAGTATTATTATTAAATTATTATTACAAAAATGTATTATTTATTATATAAATAATTTTTCAAAACAAATCAAAAAAAAAAAAAAAATTTTAAAAAAAAAAAAATAATAAAATTTTAATAAAAAAAAAAAAATAAAATTTAAAATTTTTTTTTTGTGTCGTTTATTTTTTTATTTTTTTTATTATTTTTTTTATTTATTTTTTTCGAAAGAGTAAATTATTATTTATAATTTGTTATAATTGTTATTTTAATTGAATTTAAAAGAATATTATTAATTATATTTAAAAATATACTATTAAAAGAAATTTTGACTTTTTATTTGATTTTTTAAATATTTTTTAAAAAAAAAACAAAAAAATTTATTTTTTTTAAAAAATATTTAAAATTTTATTTTTTTTAAAAAAACCCTTTCACTGGGAATTAAATATCTTTACATCACACAATGAATAATAATGATGATTACCAATTTTTAAATTATAATTTAAATAAATTAATAAATAATGTATCAACTTTATCAAATCTTCATAAACAATTAATAGTTTCAAATGAAATAGTAGTAAATTTTGTAAATCAAAATCAAAATCAAAATAATAATAATAGCAGCAATAATAATAGTGGTGCTAATAATACTAATAATAGTAATAATACGATAGATATAGAAAAGAAATAAACACAAATTAATTAAAGAAAAAGTATTTACAAAATTTTATTTTATTTTATTTTATTTTATTTTAAAAAAAAACTAAAATATTAATGTTATTATTTTTTAATTATTTCAATATTATTTGGTATAATATTATTATCTAAATGATAGTTATAGTTATTAAAATAAATTGATTTTACAGTATCTTTTATAGTACCAGGTAGTAATGGATGGTTGTAGCCAAAGAATACAATAGATTTTACGGTAGGTGGAATAGAATCAATTTCTAATGGTTTTCTAATATTATAGACCACTAATTTCTCTAAATTTTTGTTTGGTAATAGGTTTGAAGAGATTGGATGATTAAAGCCGTCACAAAGATGAAGTTCTTTAATGGATTCGGGGATTTCAAGATGTTGGTCAACAACATTAAAGAGCACAAGTGATTCTATTGAATCATTGATATTTTGTGGTATTGAATGGGTATAACCATCATATAGACGTATTTTTTTAACGCTTGATGGAATAAACTCGTTCATTACTCTATGCTTTATATCACCAAGAGAAAGCACTTTAACAGAATCTGGAATAACAAAGGCACCAATGGATTGATTAAAGGAGTCACAGAGGGTTAGCTCTTCAACTGATTGCGGGATAGAGTACATAGATAATGGTTGTTTAATGTCATATATATTCAATCTTTTAACTGATGAGGGTATCATATTCTCTTCAATCGAATGATTAAATCCATCGCACAAATGAAGTTCGGTTACAGATGAAGGAATTCCGGAAAATGGTTCTAGTGGCTGCTTAATATCACCTATTCTTAATGTTTTAATTGATGGTGGTATTTTAAAATCAGAAAGCGACAAATTAAATCCATTGCAAAGAAGCAATCTATCAACAGTGCTTGGTACCTCCAAACTATTAAAACTAAATCTACTGTCCAATGCAATCGATGTAATTCCACTTGGTATTGGTTCACCATGACATAAATAGTAGTTTATATTATATGCTAAATTTAATTAATAAATAAAAAGGGTTAGTATCGCAACATTTAAAAACATGATTTTTTTTCCATAATATTTACGTTGAATGATTTTGTTCATCATTAGATGTTTTTTATTTTTATTATCTTTATATTTTTCAGTTTTTATTTGCACAATATTTGAAATGGAGTCTTTTATTGTATTTATTAGGTTGGTATCAAAGGTTAAAATATCCTGTTCAAATGAAATGGTTTGGGTTTGTTCTCTTTTTTTGATAATTGGGTCACACAAGTCACTGTCTTTAATTATTTCTATATGTTGTTTGGTTTCAAAATTAAATACATTGTCAATTGAATAGTCTTTGATTTTATTTTGGTGTCTATTAATGATAGAGTCTATTTTCTTTGTGTCAAAATCCAATTGAGATTTGAAAGTATGCTTTGAATCTAAATTTTTTTGATAGGTGATTTTTAATTGTTCAATGACTTGATTTTCTAAATTATCCAGGTGATCACGAATTTCTTTGAATTGATCACGAACATTTTGGCAATTATTTTTAAAAATAGTATCACATTCTGAATAACAATAATCTACTGCATTTTTAATATATCTGTCACTTTCTCTGAAACCAACTAAATTTTGATATTTTTGATTTTTAAACTTATCCAATACATTTGAAGCAAATTGTTTTGAAATTTCCGCATATTTATGACCAGTATGATCACTGCTTACAATACATTGTACACACACCATTTTTGAGCAATCTAAACAATATGTTATTAAATCATTAAGATCATGATAATAACATTTTAAATTTGGATTGTCGCTTGTATTGCTATTGATAGAGTTGGTTTTCTTTCTTGTTTTATTAATATTAATATTCATATTATCAATATTAATATTTTCGCTACTAAACGATATATTAATGGGCTCCATCATTATAAATATATATTTATATTATTAAATTAACAATTGATTATGGAAAAAATATTTAAAATAAAATTTTTTTATTTTTAAAAATAAAATTATTATTTATATTTATATTAATATAATATATATTAATAATTTGCCACTAAACAACAACTAATATAAAATGGTATAGTTTATTGGTTGGAAAAAAAATAGAAATAGTAAATAAATAGTAAAATGAAAATAAAATAAATAAGTAATTTAAAAAAAAATACAATAAGAAAAAAAACTTATTTAAATATTATTTTTAATTTTAAAAAAAAAAAAACAACAAATAAATAATAAATTAAATATGGGAAAAAAAAAATAAATTAAATCTAATTAACAATATTTTATAACCCCCTTTATAGTAGTTGTTTTTTTTTCCCACACTAAATTTATATAAAATAATTAATTATTTTTTTTACTGTATCTATTTGTTTAATGTTTCTCTGTGTGTGTATGTGTGAGTGTGAATTTTTATAACGGTATTTATTATAAAAAGAGATGATGATGACAAAATTTGAAATGTGTTAAAACATATAAACATTTTTTATTTATAACAACAACAAAGATCATATTCTCATCATTTTTTATCTATGTTCTAATCTACTGTTTATTTATTTAGTTAATTTTAATAATTACTATGTATATATTTGAATAAATCTCATCATAAAGTGTCATTAATTTTTAATTAGTAAAATTATTTATAGAAATATTTTTTTTTGTGAGTGGGGTGCATGTTATTATATTGTAAATTTAATATGGAAATGTTTAAATTTTAAGTTATAATATGGTGTTGGGAATAGGCAAGAAATTATTTTATAATTAAATTTTAGGGGGTGTTTTTTTAGGGGGAAGTGTTGGTGATATAAATCTTTTCTTTTTTTTTTTTTTTTTAATATAAAAATGTGTTAATTGATGTGGGATGTATAAAATAGTGTTGGTTAATTGTTTATAATTTCTATTTTTTCATTATTTTTTATTTAGTATTGTTTTATTTAAAATAATTCTAGAACCAACCTATTGCAACAACTATCATCAACTTTATGCAATTTTGAACAATCATTTTTTAACCACCAAAAAAAAATAAAAAAAATTATTTTAATAATTTAAAATGTTAAAATGAAACATGTTTAAAGTTTGAAAAATTGAATTGATCAATAATTATTTTTATTTTTATTTTTATTTGAAATAAAATGAGATTTGATTTAAGCATCAACACCACTTTCATAGAGTGGATTAACACCACTATTATTATGATTGTTTTCATATAATGGATTTGTTGAAACACCATCACCTGACCATGCACCTTCACCAAAGAAAGCATCAGTAGGTGGAGCAGCTTTCTTGACTAATTTCCAAATAGCTGAGGCAATAATGGCAGTAGCAGCGGCGGCAGCAGCAATTGCAACAGATAAAATTGTTTTATTTGATTTATTTGTTGTGTTTGCATTCTTGACTGTAAGATAAACATAGTTGGTAGCATTTAAAAAGCTTTGGCTTCTAATTTCTTGTGGAGCATTGTAACCCATATCATTTACGAAAATCTTAAGACGATAATCACCTGCAATATAACCTTGAACTGAAATGGATTGAACTATTTTAAGGACTGTAGGATTAGTAGCAAGACAGGTAGCAGTTGTATAATTGGCCTCAAATGTACAGGATGGTGAATTTGTAAGATTGAATGAAACAAAGCTCTTGTGGAGGGCTGATTCATTTTTAGTGCCAACAACTGAGACAATTAAGGTAATGTTATTGTTTACTGAATCTGGATCAGTAGCAACGATGCCTTTAAGATTTACAATATCTTTAGTATTGAATGTATAGTTTTGATATTGATCTTCAACTGTAACATATGGTGGAATATTTACACGGTTAACATTGATAAAAATTTTAGTAGCCTCGGAAGAGAGACCATATTCATCTTTGATAAAAAGTGGAACGCTAGTATATCTTGGGTAAGCAGCTCCTGGGCTTGGTTCAAAGACAATATAGTAGTGGCCATCGGTATGTTGGGTAATATTTTGTAATGGTGAAAGAACTTCTCCATTTAATAATCTAACAGTACCTTGAGTTGGTAAGACTGGCATTAAGGCTTGAAGTGGAATTACAGGTTCATCAACATCATTACCATCAAATTTAATAGTAACATTGGTATCAACATTCATGTTGACAGTGTAATCTTTACCAATAAATAATGTTTCGACATTACCTGAATCGCTTGGGGTATAGCCAATTGGAGTAATGGTTGGTGGTTGATTTACATGGATAACATTGACAATAATTGTAATATAGCCTGAAATAATATCTCTGTCATAAAGTTGGAATGTAATAGTATCAAAATTATCACCATATTTATTTCTTGGTGGCATATAAGCAAGATTGTATGAATTTGAACCGGCTAAATCGACTGGGTATGTTGAAATTAATGAATCGATTGGTTTTTCTGAACCCATAATGTGTGAAACAGAGAGATTACCTCTTCCGGTGAAACCAGTAACTTTAAGATTAACTTCTACACCACCATTACCTGGAACACCAGTAATAGTAAGTGGATAACGGGTATTTTGGTAAACATTGATAACACGAAGACCAGTGTAAATTGGTGGATTTCTTGGGTTAACATTAAATTCACCAACAGCTGGTTCTGATGCAAGACTTTTACCATCAATAACTGCAAAATTGAATCTATCTAATGGTAAGTATTGGGTATCATAATCTGACATACCCTTGTTTGGTTTATAGGTGAGACCATCGAGTAAATAATAGGAGGCACTGGTGTTTTCGATTTCAACATTTTTATAGAGTAACTTTCCATTTGTTGGAAGAGATAAAAGAGAAACCTTTAAGTCTGAGACTGGTGATTCGAGATCACTACCATTAACTACAAATGAAACTTGATCATCTTGATTTAGTCTGATTTGGAATGAATTTGTTTTTGGCTTTGTGTTGAAGTAATCGTAGTAAACAACAAAAGAGCCTGATGCACTTAATGCCTTTGGATATGTGTATTTTGGAGTATCAATACATTCAATATTAAGAGTGTCAAAGATATTTTCATATGGTTTTGGTGTAACTTTAGCTGGATCGATTGTTAGTTGGAAAATAGGAGATGATAATGGAGCACCTAAAACATATTCTTTACCGCTGTCAAGAATAGTGTAGTTGCCTGGTAATTTGCCAACAAAAGAGCAAGTAACTGGGTCATTCTCATCATCCCTAACAGATATTAAAACAGAAACTGGGAATTGGTCATTTGAAGTGTACTTTTTATTTGTAAGAGTAAGTATTGGTGCATGATTAACCCTATTGACAGTGATTTGGGTGGTAGCAATGCCAGATTGACTATTAAAAGTATCATAGACATAGTAACTAAAACTATCTGTACCGTAAAATCCTTTGTTTGGTTTGTAATAGAATTTTAATGGGGCTAAACCTTGTGTAACAGCATTTCCATTTGTTTTGGCGCTAACAAATACACCATTAGCTGGTGGTGTTGAAATAACGGCAATTAATTTACCTTTATCAGAAGGATCGGCATCAGTACCATCAATAGTAATAACTTCTGAAACTTCTTCTTGATAAACTTGGAATGGTGGGGTTTGTAGAACTTCTGGTGCTATATTTAAACGTTGACCAACAATATCAATTAAAGTGGTGAAAGTATTAGCAGATTTAAGACCTTCAAAATCGGTTGTGGTATAAGAAATCGAAGCATAGCTGGAGCCTGTGGTTTCTGGAGCCAAGTAGCAAATTTTTTGGTTAAGTGAAGCTTTGCCTGATGTGACGTCAACTGGACCAAATACTTTATTAACTATAAGGGCTGTTCCTGGAGTATCACATTCATAGAATGAGCCATCAACACCAGCACTAAAGGCAGTGATAGTAAATGAAACCGATTTTGAATCACTATCTGTGGCGTTAAGATTTAATCTGGCAATACCCAATGGAATAATAGAAACTGGAGTAGAACCTGTGGCAATTGGGGCAACATTGGTATGGATAACGTTAACTGTGAGACTGCAATATGATGATGGAAGATTTGAACTATCAAATACTGCAAAATTAACAATAAAAGCTTTGGGAATATCAATATTGGATGTTTGAGTAAAGGAAATTTCATTTCCAACAATATTTTGAGTGGTGGCAGTAATAGTAGCACCAGTTTTAGTTTTAAAGACACCATATGCTGAAATATCAGAAAGAGATGGGAAAATGGTATATAATTTTGAGCTTGAATCTTCGAAATCTGAACCTGATAGGGTGAAGGTAACTGGAGTGGCTGCACCTAAACCTTTAGAGGTAATTATTTGTGGACTGCAAGTTGGTGCTTGGTTTACTCTATTAATTGTAATTGAACCTGTATTTTGATCACTGTCAAGACAACCATCATTAGCTATGAAACTAAATGAGGATGGTTGGATATAGTTTGTTGAAGCAGAAAATGTAAATAGAGTATCAGATGCATATTGTGTTGCAGTGTTAACATTAGCATTATTGGCTGAAATAATTCCACCAGCTGGAAGGGTTTTAAATTTAAATGTTAAGATATTTGAATCTGGATCAGAGCCGGCAAGTTTGAAATTAACTTTTCCATTTTGGTCACAAGCAAAACCTATAGCCGAGGCAAATGGCTTACGATTGTAATTTACTCTTAAATCTACTGCACCATAACCAATGGCAGAGACTCTTGGAGTTGGTGAACTGGCAAGACCATCAGTTGAAGCTGGGATTTTAATTAAAAGTCCACTAGCTGTACCTTGGGTAATAGAACCAGTATTGACTGTAATTTTATTTGGAACAGTTGAAATTACTTGTTCATCATCACCTGCGACAGCTTTGAAAACAATTGTTTTAAGAGCAGTTGTAAAGGCAGCTTGAGCTTTAAGAGTCCAATCGGCTGCAATTCCAGCCTTTTCGGCAACAACACCAAAACCAGCTGAGCTAATAGTGCTACTCCAGTTTGGAAGAACTGCATTATTATAACCAACGATAATTGGCATAATTGATTGTTGAGCTAAAGTGGTTTTGAGTTTTTCGATATCAGCTGATGAAGCAGTGTGATCAGAATCAGTAATAAGAACAATAACCCTATAAGCACCTGTTGTCCAACCTAATGGGCTTGATGCTGCATCGATTAAAGAAGCGAGAGAATTACCATTAGATGCGGAGACATAGGTATTTGGATTGAGAGTACTAATACCGGTATCAATAGCACTACCAATAGTTAATTGTGGTTGGAAAGTAAAGCCAGCATTTGGGACATCGCTAAAGAAACCAAGACCAAATTGAGCATTTTCACTGAATTTCTTGAAGGAACTAACAAAACTATTCATGTTTGATTTGATATAACCAAATACAGTAGAATCTTGGGCATTTGCATCAGCTAAAACATAGACATTAAGAGTTGGGAGAGATGCTGGAATACTATATGAAACTTTAACTTCGGTTTGATCTTTAACATAGAGTGAAACAAAAGTTGGATTGATGTATGAGTTTGGAGTAACAGTAGTAGCAATAATAGAATTTGTAAGATCAGAACATGTTCTTGAGAGTGGGGTATCACATAATACACCAGTCCAACCATTATAACATGAACATTTACCATCACCATTAACACCATCATATGAATTACCATTAATACATTTATCAGATGGAACACAATCTGGACCATAATAACCTTTTGAACAATCAAAACATTTAACATCTGGATTCCATCCAGTTGGACAAGTACAACCACCATTATTATTTTGTTCACCAGCACCACAGTTTGGTTTTGCTAAAATAATAAATTAAAAAAAAATTAAAATCAACTCTTTATAAACAAAAAAAAAATAAAATAAAATTAAATCAATACATACGAACAAAAATTGAGAATGAACGAACTTGTGAAGATAAATCTTTTGCGTCACTACAATATGCAGACATAACATATGAACCAACATCGGTAACTTTTGGAGTCCATGAATAGGTAACAATTTGATTTCGTGAATTACCACTAATTGGGTTAACAACTTGGGCCATATCTTTTGGAACATTAGCACTTTGAACAACTACTGTTGATTTATCACTAGTACAATTAATAGCGAACGAGGTTGAAACTTTAGTATTGAATGTAATAACTTGACCATCGACTGGTGTTGGATTTGTAAAGTATGGTGGTTCATTAATTGTAACAACACATGTATTATTTACATTGTTTACAATAGCTGGATTACAGTTGGTACATTGAGAATTGGTAGTACAAACTATACCTTTGTTGACACAACTATCATCACAGACACCTGGTTCAGAAACTGAGTTGAGAATAAAATCTACTACAATGTAAGCAGACTTGCTATCTTGAATATAAATTTGAGTTGAATATAGACCAATTTGAGTTGGTTTGAAAAAGACATCACCACTTGGTGAAATAGTCATACCAGCTGGTTGAGTCATTGTATAAACAGTTGAGAATGAAAAAGTGAGTGGATCGTTATTTGGATCGGAGGCAATAATCCTAAAGTTGTTGTTTTTACCATAAATTACATTATAAATTGGAAGCATACTTGATACTGGTGAAGAGTTAAGTAAGGAAAGATCTGATTTGTTTTCGATTTGAACATTGGTAGTGATATTCCATGAACCATCTTTATTATTAATAAGCGAACTAATTCTACAACAATCTGTAAAAATGGCAGTATAAGTTTTAGAGGCACCAGAAGCAAGAACTGGATAAGTTTTAGTTACGGTGTATGAACCTGTGAACCAATCGTTAATTGGATCAAAACCAGTGACAGTAAGTACTACAGAATTCGATGCGATACCTGAACCAGTACCATATGTTAATGTACCAACTGAAATTGATTCACCAAGTACAATTGAGGTTTTACTAGATTTGAAAAAAGTAGTTCTAAATGCAAAATTTGATGAGAATTTAATTGTATTGTAGGAAGTTGTTGGTTGCCATGATATTGAGCCGAAACGGAAATGTGATGCTTTAATTACATATTATTATTTAATTTAATGATAAATAAATATTTAAATTTATATTTATAGAAAAAGAAAAAAAAAAAATTTTATTAATAATGGAACAACAAAAAATATTTTTTTTAAAAACATAAAAAAAATAAAAAATTTTCGATTTTTCTTTATATTTAAAACTAAAAACAATCGATTATTGGAAAAAAAAAAATATTTAGTGTTCACATACCTTCGGCAACAAATAACATTGCCATTAAGACAATGAATATTTTAAATAAGCTTTTCATTTTTATATATAATTATAAATAGATATTCGATTTCTTTTTTTTATTATTGTAATATTACAAATTAATATTTATGGAAAAAAAATAATTAGGAAAAAAAAAAGATAAAAAATAATTTATGATTGGTGTACCAGGGTTATATCTGGATTTTATTATAATATGTGAATATATAATATTCAAATATATAAATATATTTTACTAATAATACAAAAAAAAAAAAAATTAATTGAAAATGATAAAAAAAAAAAAAAAAAAAGGAAAAAATTGAAAGAATAAAAAATAAAAAAAATGTTTAAAAAAATAAAATAAAAAAATGTTTTTATTAACTATAATAATTTTATTGAAAATATCATATTGGTTTTTTAGACCAAATCGTCGATAAAATCAAAAAAAAAAAAATATATTTTTTTAAATTTTTTCTGAATTTTAGGTGGAGTAATCAACCAACCATAAAAATTAAATTTAAAAATATCTTTCTCCACTTGCCTGTGACCTTTATAATAATAATTTTTTTTAAAACTTTTTTTTTTAATTGCGTTATGGGTAAAATTATCAAATTTTTTGATGAGAATAATTTTTAAAAATATTTTCACTCTGCACAAAAATGAAAAAAATCACATTAAAATTTTTTTACCAAACTGATTTTTAAACGCATTGTTTTTTTCTATTTTTTTCTTTATTTTTTTTAAATTAAATTATAATCTAGATTGATTTTTGAATTAACAAATCAATTTTAAATGTAATCGGTTATAAAAAAAAAAAGTTAAAATAATGGGTGATAAAATTAATTTATTAAAGTGGGTGTTTACTAAAAATAACTTAAAATACTGTTGATTACTTTATAATTTCTCATTATTTTTTTTTTTTTAAATTTTTACATTTACGTAAAAGTAAAAAAATGATCTTGTTTTTTTTCTTTTCTGACCACAATGCACAAAATAAATTTATTTTAGTTGATTATAAAATACAGATATAAAATAAAATTATTTATTTTATATAATCAAAAATAATATTTAATTAATTATTATTTGTAAATTAAAAAAAATAAAATGAAAGTTTGCATATTATGTGGGGTTAATTAATTATTTGAGTGTGTGAGAGTGTGGGATATATAAACTATTTTTTTTTTAAAAATAAATAATTATTTTATTTATTTTTAAATTTAACATTACAATTTAATTTTTTTTAATGTTTATTTTTATAATTTCATATTTCCAGTTATATTAATTTAACAGTAATAGTAAAATACTATGGAACCATTAATATCATTTAATGACACTTCTACAAATATAGTAAATAATAATTTTAATGAAAATTCTATAATAAACAAAATAACAAATCAAGATATAAACGAAAATTGCTATAATATCAATACTAAAAAAGATAATAATTTTGAAATTAATAGTAATAATAATATTACTAATAACAATGAGCTATCAAATATTCAGAAAATAAATTCAATAAAATATCTGTTATTATTAAATTTTGCAACTCCATTAATAATTTTATATATGTACAAAACTTTTTTAGACCAAAATAACGATACCACAACTAAAGAAATTCAAATAGTAACCCATATAATTCGATCCATGTGGTCTTTATCTCTATTTTTTTGTTTAACATCGTAAATATATCATTATATAAAATACCATTTTCCCAGGATTTATTTACTAATTTTTATAAAAATTTTTATAAAAATTTAAAAAAAAAAAAAAAAAAAAGATTAAATGTATATGTCTGGGAATTATTTAATATTGATTACAAATCAATATTTAAATTAAAAGAATATTCAAACTATATAGATATACAACAAACCGATAATAGTAATAATAAAATATTTTTATATTTATTTAAAAGATCAATAATACTATTCAGTATTTTAACTATAACATTAATAATAAATAATTTTCAAAATAATAATTTATTTTATAATAAAAACTATGGATACAATATACCAGTTTTAATATTAATATGGTCCATTTTCTTTTCAGTTATATTTTATGATCATTTTTTAAGATCAGTATTAATAAATAGTTTAATATTAATAATAAAATCACCTTTTAAATCTATTTCTTTTTTATCGTATGTATAATTAGAATAAAAATAATAACTCAAAAATATAATATTGATAAATATTTTTATTTTTTAAAATAGGTTTTGGATTGCAGATCAAATAACATCATTATCAATATTTTTAAAGGATTTTAATATAACATTATGTTTCTTATTTTCATTTTTAAATATTGATTTTTGTTTTAATCATTTTAAATGGTTATCTCCAATAATATTATCGTTACCATTTATTTTCAGAATATCCCAATGTATCAGAGTATACTACGACACCAATAATAGATTACAACTATTCAATGCATACAAATATTTTATTGGATTGGTAGTATTATTTTTTTCAAATTTATATCACAATTTTTATCATATACCAGAGTTTAAAATTTATTGGATATTATTTGCAACTTCAGGTACATTATACTCCTACTATTGGGATGTAGTCAGAGATTGGGGATTGTTTGAGAACAATTGTTTTAGAATTAAACCAAACTTTTTATTAAGGGATCAATTACTATATATTTATAAACCAGTAAGTAGAACAATTATAATATCACTTTTCAACTAATGAAAAAAATCAAATACTAATTTATTATAAAGTTTTATTATTATTCAATTATTTCAAATTTAATAATGAGATTTAATTGGACCATTTTAATAAACCCATCATTATTTGGTTTTAAATTAAATAATGAATTTGTCATAGGAACATTCTTAATATCAATAGATATAATTAGAAGGTGTCAATGGAATTTCTTTAGAATGGAATACGAACAAATAACAATAAACAACAATAAAAACCAATCAATAAAAAATATAATATAATTTATAAAAAAATAAAAAAATTATTACAAATAAATATTTTGAATTTAAAATTTACATTTTATTAAATTTATACTATACTATATATATACTATTATTTACGATTTCTATTATAATTATGTATTATTACTATTTATTTATTAAATTATTTTTAGTTTTCACTGCTGCTATCACTTGAATTTTCATTAATACTATCAATACTTGTACTTGTATTATTACAATCGCTAACTGGTTTTTCTTTTTCGGTTATATTTGAATTGTTTTCAATTTGATTATTTTCGACTTCATTTTTCTTTTGGATTGGTAATTGTGGTAATGGCTTATTAAATTGATTATTGTTATTATTATTATTATTATTATTATTATTATTATTATTATTATTATTACCATTATTTTTTACAAAGTTTTTAAAATGATCAGGTCTAAGTAAAATAAAGCTTGTATTTGTACGATTTAATTGAATATGCTGATATTTTTTGGTTTCTAAAAATGTTGGGGTTGTTGGTTCTCTATTTTGTAGGATTTTTTCTATTTCTTCAAGTTTTTTAATAATTTCATTAAAACTTGGACGTGCAGAAGGATCTTGTGCCCAACATATATTTAAGAGGTTATCATATTCTGGGACATTATGGGTTGGCAATGGTGGTCTAATACCATCACAGATCATTTGCTCTACAGCTGACATAAATGTAATTCCTTCAAAGAACTTGGTTCTTGCTAAAAGTTCGAAAAGGATGACACCATATGCATAGACATCACTTTTATCGGAGCAAAGTTCGTTACTGATAACTTCCGGTGCAAGCCAAACTGGATTTTGAACTGCTCTATTGGCAACGGTTGTAGAGAAACCAGATAGAGAGAAATCACACAAATGACATGATACAGTCTCGGGATCTTTGCTTGAGAGTAAGATATTTGGTGATTTAAGATCACGATGTACTACTGATGGTCTACTATCATGAAGAGTTTGAAGTGAGGCTGCAATTTCCTTAGCGAATCTAATTCTTAATGACCAATCGAGGGGATTTGATAGATCGTGGATATAGTCATATAAATTACCACCACTCTTGAATTCAGTGATAATACATAGAGGTTCTAAACAAAAGCCTTTAAGATCAATAATGTTCTCGTGGATGAATGAACTGAGACAAAAGATTTCACGACGGAATTCTGCAAATACTTTGGTGAAGTTACTGCCCACAATATCTGTTTTTAAAAGTTTAATTGCAACATTATTATTTCTCCATTTACCTTTGTATACGGTAGCAGTGCCACCTTCGCCAATTGGTTCTGGTTCCAATTCAACTTCTTTATAGTCAATAAGTTTATGACGAAGATCGGTCATAATAAGATCAGGGGCCAGTTGATTTAGTTTGATTGGAATTAAAGCATGAATTGAGCAACTAAGATATGATTTACCCTTGATTACAGCTTGTTCTACTTGATCTAGTCTAAAGAGGAACTCTGGTTTGGTACTGGTTTCGATACAATGCATACAAGGAATATAGGTTGTATATTGTAACTCGTTATATGATTCTAAAATTGAGTCGAAAATTTGTAAAATATGTCTACACATTTTGCTTGAGGATATTTCAATCTTGTTATCGTTATGCATTTGTATGAATACCAAATCATCAGAGCCCAAAACACTAATGGTACTGCTTCTACGGAAGTGTTTAGCATTTGGTGACATTGGATAACGTCTAGCAACTGGGAAAGATAAATAACAGTTTTCTAAAACGACACCAGTTTTCCAACAGTGTTTGATGGAGCAAAACATATAAAGTTGGCTTAAAAGTCTTGGGAAAAAGCTATTTGGAATTTTTTGTTCAAAAAGGAATAATCTACCAACTGTTCTTGGCTCGTCAGTTTGGAATAGCTTATCAATTGAAACTGGTGGTTGGTCTGGTAGTTCATTTGGTAAAAATATAACTTTTTCATTTAATGTCTTTAGATTACGCAATTGCTGTTGTTGTTGTTGTAAATGTTGTAGATTTTTTAATGGTGATAGTAATGAATTTAGATTGTTGCTACTAGTATTATTATTATTATTATTAATACTATTATTTGAGTTATTGTTACTATTGTTATTACTACGGATTGGTGATAAAGATAAATTTGGGAATTTCAATGGACTTGAGTTGTTTGAGCCACTGCTAATTGTATTTGAACGAATCGAAATCGATCTTAATGATGGACTGCCGCTAATTGATAATCTATTTAAATTGGGACCTGAATTATTAAAATGTGATGTTACAGAATGACCACCGCTACCACTTGAATGGCTACTACCTGGACTGCTTGGATTTCCTACGAGCGATAGTGGATACATGTAGCCCCATGTTGATGGATCATATAAAACATCAATTAAATAAGCAATATTGAATTTCTTTGCCAAGGTTAAAAGGAATGGATATAGTCTAGTTGGTATATCATTCCATACACTTTCTAAATTGCTCATTAAAATGATATCTTTCTTTTTACCAATATTATTTTTACCAAGGATACTATTAATGATATCATCACTCTTGCTATCATTTAAACTTGAATCTAATAAAATTGATGAGGTGGTTGCTATACCTGTTGAGCCATTATTTGGATTGCTGTTGGAGTTGTTATTACTACTATTGTTATTACTATTTGATGAGGCTGTTGTGGTTGTGGAGGTGTTTGATGGGGTTAATTGCTTTAAGGTTATCAATGAGGAGAGTGTAGAGGTTAACCATAATGGATCTAAAATAACCCAATCATAATCATCAGATGTGAACAATAAACTCAATTCGGTCAAGAGTTCACAGGTATTTTTAGTTTCTAGTTTATCTAATTTACACATTTCACCAATGGAATAAAGTTCTTTTTTGGAGATGAATGGCGACTGTAAAGTTTTAATATGTTTTTCGAATAAACGCTGACTACTTGATACTCTGGTGCCATATGGTTTTTGATTTAAGAAAACAGATTTCAAATCTTCACGAAGCTTTGGGAAATTATCTTTATCAGTACTACTACCAATATTTATAAAATTGAATGTAAACAATGGGAATAGAGAGTGGCACTTTTGTTCGATTCTTGGTGTTATGTATGAGTAGTAATCCTTTGGGACTTGACTATCACTATTAAAAACACCAACCATAAAGATATTTGCATAGGTGCATCTATCTTTAATACTTTCTAACCATTTATAAACTCTTATTGGTTCTTCTGATTCAGTAAGTGACCAAACTAATAAAAATACTGATCTCTTTGTAAATAAATGTTGACTACAATTTGTTATTGAGCTGGAAATATCTCTTATATATACAGTTAAATTTTTCTTTTTAGAAATCTCTTGATTATTAAAATTAATTAAATTATTTTGATTGGTTGTTGTTGTTGTTGTTTCATTATTATCAATGTTATTATTTAAATTATTAAGGTTATTTAAAATATTTAAATTTGCAAAACTTAATGAATCATTAATTGATTGTTTTCTATATACAGTTGTTTCATTATCATTACTACTATTATTATTATTTACAATTAGTGATGATGAATTTGATGGTGTCATTGGTGATGCTAAGATATTATTATTATTACTATTGTTATTATTTATATTTGATGCTATACAATATAAAATTGAATTTGGATTGCCTTCATATTCAATTTCCCATTTGGTTGGTTTAATTTTTTTCTCTTTATTATTTAATGGAAGTGAGCCAATGTTTTTACTCATATTTTCTTGTTTTCCAGTGGTATTGCTTGTATTGCTACTATTATTACCACCTATGGTATTACTATTTGTAATATTTGAACTATTATTTGAACTACTAGCATTTGATTTTTTTAATTTTGTATTGCTTGTAATGATATTTCTAATCAATTCATTTTTGTTTATAAAATTTGTATCTGTGATAATAATAAGTTTACTTCTTGGGTGGAAATGGGCTTGTGACATTTGTTGAGTGAGATAACGCATAATAGCTTCAGTTGTTTCTAATTCTTTAAATGGAGAGTCCATAATATTATGATTTACAATTAAAGATTTTAATTTCTTTAATTGGGCCAATGTATGTGGAAGTGTGGTGATTGTATTACGATCTAAATTTAAAAGTGTTAACGAGGTCAATTTGCCAATGGATGGTGATACATATGTAAATCTATTGCCATCTAGTCTTAGCTCGGTTAATAGAGATAAATTGAAATCGTTGAAGGAGATACTGTATAAACTATTATTATGTAAATAAAGCTTCTTTAAACTTGGTAACATTGCATGATTTGGTACTGTTGTAAATTGATTATCTGAAAGATCTAAAACTGAAAGTTTTGAAAGACGTTGAAAATCGATGGGTACTTCGGTAATCTTATTTTGATTAAGGAATAAAGCTTCTAAATTAACGAGGTCATAGAGCTTATTTGGAATCGAGGATAATGAGCAACCAGTTAATTCTAAATGACGGAGTGTCTTCATTTCGAACATTAAATTGCTAAGTTTAACTAATGGATTTGGTCCCATACGGAAATGAGTAATTTCGTTCATTAGGAAAACTTTATCATCCAATTTATGTGACTTGAATTTGGTAATTTGATTATTTCTTAAATCCAATGTTTTTAGTGATCTTAATTTAAAGAAACCTAATGGGAGCTCTCTGATATTATTGTTTTGAACGTAGAGCTCTTCTAAACCGACCATTAAAGAGAGTGCTTGAGGGAAAGACGATAATCTATTATTCATTACTGAAAGTACTTTAAGTTGCTTCATTTTGCTTATTGATTCTGGAATAATAAGAAGTTTATTACTATCTAATACTAGTTTTTGTAATGTTGAAATTGTATAAATTGATTTGTGTAATGACTCTAAAAGATTGCTTGAGAGATCAAATTCTAAAAGTTTTAATTTTGAACCAATTAATTTCAATAAACTACTTGGAATTGATTTAATTCTATTATCTGCTAAACAGAGATGGGTAAGATTACTTAGTAGAATTACATCTGTTGGAAAAGTGTTGAAAAAGTTTCTTGAAAGGTTTAGTTTTGTTAAGGATGTAAAGTAACCTAAAAGACTACGATCAATTTGAAGAAAAGTTAACTTTTGGTTAATTAAATCACATTTGACTTTACCAATGAGCTTCTTGGAGATTTGTTGGCTTTCTCTTGAATTTATAAACTCTGTGAATAAAGATGACCATAAAATAATTTGATCGTTATCGTAAGATGGTTTAATCATTTCGTTGAAATCTTCTTGTTTGAAAATCATGGATTGACGAGGTGAAATTGGTGAATGGTCAACTTTACCAGAAAGGTTACCATTGCTCTTTGATGATGATAGTTGACTGTGTTTATATAATAAATTTACATATTGATTACGATTTTGTTGAATATAAGTCCAAATTGATGGTGATCTCTTGAGGAATTTTCTTTCAGTGTCTCTAAGTGCTTCAGAGTATAGGAAGTTACCGAATCTACCGCTAAATGATTCTTTTGTAAGGAATAATAATAAATTTTCATTAAATTCAAAGTGGAATGGGAATTGTCTTTGTAATTGCCAAACTGTATCTAAAAATTGTATGAATATTGGTGAAAATGATCTGTTGATAAGGATTGAAGATTCATAAGTTTCGGAGAATAAAAAGAATTTCTTTTTAGTTGATGAATCGGTGTGAACAGTCTCTGGAATTGGAACATGATATTCACCATCGAAACTTTTTTCGTTACTGATATCTTTACCTAGCATCATTAAATTAATACCAGAGCTTTTAGAAACTGAACCATAACCCTTCTTTGATGAATGACTTGATGTTGATGAAGTTGAACTATTCATTATGTTTTCTTTATTATGATTGAAATTATTGAATGGGTAACCATATTGAATCCATTCCTTTTCGACAAGTACCAAAAAGCCATCAAAAGTTCTATAATAAGGATCACTTAAAATCATAGTTATTGAGCTAGTGCTGGCTAAATCTAAAGCATAGTTTGGTGTGTCAACGGGCGGTTTTAACAATACTGATGAACCTTCATCCAATAAATTGGAAACACGAATACAACCTTCCAAGAGCTTCTTTATACCACCAATCCATTTTGACTCTTCAATTGATTTCCATCCCTCTATTGAACCATCGAAATTGGTGATAGAATGGTAGAGTTCAAACCAATAACTCTCAATCTCTTCTCTTGTTGGTATTGATAAAAATATAATATTGGAGCTATTTAATTTAAATTGATCATAAACTGCCAATGAATTCATGTCAACTTTGTTTGTGAAAACAAGAGTGGCTTCATTTTGTCTCTTTGATTTTAATGAATGACTTGAGAATTGGTGTTGAATTTCTCTGTGTAATAATTGATTATTGGTGCTATTGGATAGTGCACTTGATGATGATGATGAATTTGGTGAATTTGCATTGCTTGAGTTTGGTGAATATTGATTATCTAGATCCTTATTTACAAATAAATGATAAAGTTTAACGTCCACAGCGTCTGATACTACATTATTAATACTATTTGATGATTGTTGAAGCTGTTGTTGTTGCTGTTTATCTTTTTTAGAGGATGATTTACTGCTTGAACTTTTTGATGTTCTCATTTGGTTTAATGGTGAGGAGACTTCTTTTTTATCCAAGTTACGTCTTTTAACTGGAGATGGGGGTTCAATATCATCCCTACTTGCACTAATAGGAATTGAGCCTGAGCTTGAAAGACTACCACCACCGCTATTTCCATTATTATTTACAGATGAAGATGAAGAATTTAAAATTACAGATGACGAAGAAGATGACAAACCAACTTGTTGAGAGTTTCCATAACTAAGCATACCCCCAGTTTGATGGCCTGATGAAGATTGGTAAACACAAACTCTGAATAACATTGCTTTATTATTGATGTTGGTCCAGGACAGTATAGGTATTTTGCTTTGGGTTTTCTTTACATAGGATTGTAATAGCTCATCACTTAAAAGATTTGATAATAAGATACGCTTTGGAAAGATTGATGAGGTATCTCTCGAAAGAAATTCGATAATTCTCCATTCTTTATCCATATCTAATTTCAAACGTTGGGATTCGTGGATGGGTGAATAAATATCCCAGTTGTTAGAATTTGAGGCTAATGATAATAAATTGGTTGTACTACTGTTTTGTAAACTATTATTCAATAAAGCTCTAGGTATTTCATGGTTAACGCTTGAAAAGAATCTACCAAAATCGAGTATTGGTGTAATATAATATGCAAGAATTTGATTAAGCTTATCCAAATCCTCATCAGAATTGAAACCCAAGTATTGGAAACGTATATTTTTACAATAGCACAAGAATATTTGATACTTGCTTATACCAGTTGCGCTAATTGGTACGGAGTTCTTTAACGATTTGCCAAATATCTCCCATTTAATAATTGATGATAGTATAATTTCGAATTGGTAAAGTTTAATTTCAAATTGATTACGTGTTGATGATGAACCATTATTACTTGAGCTATGGTCCTCTGGTATTAAAAAGTTATTTGTATTTCCTTGGGTATAGTCATCGCCTTCATCTTTCTTCCATATTACTCTATAATTGGTTATAAATAATGTTCCATGTTCCCAGCTTGAAACGTCATAGGTATTGTTTTGGTTTGAGTTTATCTTTAAATTATTTGGAGGTATAATGACATTCTTTAATTGCATCATTATAAACTCACCTGCTAATGTAACTGGTCTATCGTCAATATTCACAAAGAAATCTTCACAACAATTTATAATGGTTGCAGTTGATGAATAAAATGAACTATGATTTTTATAATTAATAAATAGTGGTGTAAATAATTCAGATAATTTTTCTATTATACTTTTAAATTTATATTGTGGTTGATTTGTTGATGGCTCTTGTGATTGTTCTTCATTATTGTTATTTTCTTGTTGTTGCTGTTGTTGTAAATGTTGTAATTGTTGTTGTAAATGTTGTTCGTTTGAATTTCTATTATTTAATACAGTTGAAACATGTTTCTTTAAAAATGATAAAAATCTTTGTAAAAATTCTCTGCACTCTACTGATAACTTTTGAACCAAATACTGTATATCCCAATATCCACCATATTGAGAATTTACTAAAAAAAATAAAAAAATATTTTATTAATATACATAATTATTTTTATTTAAATAGTCTAATCATACATACATGCAGAACTATGGTTTTTGACAGCATTATAAAGTTCCACATTCATTAATTGATCTGGTAATGATGCAATAAACTCGATAATTAATGATGCAACATCGTGAGGTTCTTGTGGCTCTGGATAAAAGAAATTAAAATCACCTGTCCTTTCAAATGAGTTTTTAATGATTTGAATCTTTTCGTTATTACCCATTTTAAAAAATAAATCTTCAACATGATCTAGAAAATAAATAAAAAATTAATAAGTATGTATGAATTTAAACTAATAATAGATATATAAAACTTACAATAGCCCTCTAAAAACGAAATTGCTTTTTCTAATAACATTGGTATTGGTAAATTATTATTTTGACGTTTAATTATTAATGCTAAAGGTACACCAAAATATTGAAAATCTGGTTGGCCTCCATTACCTAATGGAATAGTATAAAAATGTATTGGAGGTGATTGTTGGTCAAATGTAGGAAATGGTGAAGGTGGGACTACAAATTCGAAATTTGATTTTGATAATGATGACTGAACCTTAATATTTCCATTACTATCTTTCAATTGTTGTTGTGATGCTGATGCAGATGACGCTATACGATTTTGTTTTTCAGGGTTTCTAAGTGATTTGAATTTTAATGAGTTATATATATGTTTTAGTTTTGATGATTTTTGAGGTTTAGGTGTCATTGATTCTCCATTTGAATTTGGTTGTTGTCTAAAATATTGGCTTGATCCTGTTGTTAATGTATTTACATCTGAAGTTTCACTAGTTTGTGAGTAGAATGAATCTGACCTATTTGGATTATAATCTATACTTCTTGTGCTTGATGATCTTAGAGATGAAAATGATGTTGAGTTTGATGCCGTTATTGCTGTTGGCTCATTATTATTATTATTATTATTATTTAAATCTTCGCCACTTGAAACATGAGTTGAAAAAGTCTCTTGTTCTCTGTTATTACTTATATCATTTAAATTATTACTAGATTTATTCTTTTCTTTATCTTTATCTTTTTTACCAAATAAAGTTTTAAATTTTAATGTAGATGATTTTTTCTTTAATTCATCTTTTTCCGATTTACTTTTTTTTTCGTTAAACAAATTTACAATTGATGACATTATTATATATTGTTTTTATTATTTATATAAAATAAAAATGATTTATTTTTTATGTGTTAAAAATTTTTTTTCTATTATTATTTTTTTATTTAAAAATATATATGTACTAATAAAAAAAATAAAAAAATAGATATTGTTGTTTTGTGGTTATGGAGGTGGGTTTGTGTTTTTTTTGTGGTGCTATGTGAGTTAATGTGAAGATTGAGTGCACATTGAATGTGGGGTCTAAAACTGAGTGTTATTATTTTTTTTAGAAATAAATAAATAAATATTTAATCTCGAAACTATTGTGATAAAATTTTTATGAGGAAAAAAAAAAACAAAAAAGTTTTATTTGTTATTATTTTTGTCTTTTTTTAATAGACAATTAAAACCCCAACTATATTATAAAATACAAAATAATACAAAATAAATATGATTATAAATTATTGCAAAATATATATATGAAAAAAAATAAAAAAAAATAAAAAAAAATAAAAAAAGTTTTTTCTTTTTTTTTTTTGATTTTTTTTTTTGAATTATTATTATAAACAATTTATATTTTTATTTTAAGTATAAATACTATACAAAAAACAATAATAAATAACTATTATTAAACAACACACTTTAAACTATTATAAATTAAAATTTAAAAATTAAAAATAGTTAGTTATACTATTTAATTAATTAAACAAAATAAAAAAAAAAAATAAAAAAATTTATTTTTGAAAAAAAAAAAAAAAAAAAAAAAAAATGATTTTTATAAGTGGCGGGTTTCCAATTTCTATGTAAAAAAAAAAATCAAAAATTTTTTCCTTTTTTTTATTTGAATTGAATTAAAAAAAAATTGTTTATAATAAAATGATAATGTTCACTTTTGGGGTAATAAAATATATAATAAAAATAAATAAAATAATATATTATAAAAATAAATAAAAAATTATTTATAACTTTGCAATTTACTCCAGTTTATTTTTTTAAAATTTTTTTTTTTTTTTTTTTTTTTTTTTTTTTAATTTTTGAATTTTCAAATAAATTCTGATTTTGGTTATATTTAAAACATTCAAAAGAAATGGTTTTGTGTTTCTGGCCAAAAGCCGAAAAATAATAAATCTTTTATTTAATGATTTTTAAAAAGGAAAATTTTGATGATGAATATTATTACTGTTATTACTGTTTTATTATTTAGTTGGATGGTTTTGATTTTATATTTTTTTTTCTTAGACAAAATTATAATGCCAATATATTTCTTTTTTTTTTTTTTAAAACATATATACCTACTCGACCTAATAAAAAAAAGAAAAAGAAAAAAAAAAAAAGAGTTAAGATAGAAAGAAAAAGATAAAAAAAAAAAGATAAAAAATCAAAAAAAAAAAAAAAGAAATATATTTGAAAATAGTTTAGCCTCTAATGATACTGATATTTGGTTTCTTTGGAGGAGCTCTTGGTTGAGATTCGGTTTGATTTGAAATAAAATCTAGTTCGTTTACTTCCATTGTGTTAACAATTTTGGTGATTGTTTGATTTTGTTCTGTTATTGTGGTTTCATTATTTACAGTAGTTGAAGCGATAGTATCACCACCAGTTGTAATTAAATTTTCACTGTTATCATTGGTTATAGTGGCGGTTGAATCGTTGGAGGTGATGGTTGATTCATTGTTTGGGGAAGAAATGGTATTATTTGGTGATAGAGGATTGGTGCCACTAGTATTATTTGAGGATTCTTTGGTTGGGGTTAAAGTAGATGGAGAGGTGTTAGTTGAGGTTGTAGTTGTTGTGGTCGATTTAACTTTCTTTTTTGATGTTGATGGATCGCCAGTTGAAACTCTTTTTTTATTTACTTTTGGTTCAGCTGGTGGTATTTCACTTTGTATAAATGATGGTAGTTGTTTCTTTTTAATATACTGTACTTTGATATCAGCCATGGTTTCTGGATTTGGTTGAGTTCTAAGCCACTCTTTTATAGTTGATGTAAATTCAGATACGGCTTTAGTTAAATCAACACTTTTATCAGCACCAGGGGTTGTTGGGAAATTAAAAACCAAACCCATAAAAAAAGTTGTGCAAATTTGATCGGGATGGGATTCTTTATGGATTAGATTCGAAAATGATTTTGGAAAAGGTACTGCATATTTCATTTTTGGTGTCATTTCTAAATTTGAAATTAAAAATCTTAATTTTGATTCGATCCAACCTTCCCATTTTCTATGATCTTCTTCGTTTCCAGCTGAACAATCGATTTGTATATAAAATCTATATCGAGTAAAAAAATCGCTCTTTTCCAATAATGCGTTATATGTGCTTTCATTGGTTTCAATCTTTCTAGTAATTTCTGCACCTCTAACAAATTCATTCTTCAATAATTGCATTGTTGATTTTGATACATTATAAGTTGAATTCATCATGGGATATGCTGGTGTAAGAATTGGCATTAAATGTGCTTTATCTCTCTTGGCATTCCATACCTTTGCAGCTAATGCACCACCTTCAACTAAATGTGTTAATAATACTGGAGCAGGCCATTTCCAATTTTCATAAACTTTAAAAAATCTATTTATAATGGTACTTGGTGCTGAATTTGGATAAAGTTGACAAATTCTTGCTGTTAAAAGTGCCCATGTAATACCACCTAAAAAACCTAAAATATTTGAATAAATTCCTCTTCCTATAGTAACAATAAAATAAAGGTTTCTTTTTAATAGATTATACTAACAAATGGTTTTAATAGTGTTTTTTTTATTTTACTTACTGATAGCCCAAAGTTTAATACATCTTAATGCCATTCTAAAATTTGGAATGTTTGGTACTAATTTTAGTATTTGATCCGCTACACGACAACCATTTAAACTAAGTATTGATTTTTCGTCAACATTCTTCAAGTATCCTTCATCAATCAAGTCATTTAGTTCTTCTGGAATAGCGGTTAGAGATAATCTTGCATAAATTAAATCTATTGGTACACCTGAAAAAACCATATTAATAACTGGAACAAAAGCATCTTTTACAGTCTGTATACATAAAAAAAAGGTTAATATAAACATAAAAGAGTAAATAAAAAAAAATAAAAAAAGAAATTGAAAAAAAAACAGTTTTTTTTATCTTTTTTTTTATTAATAAGAGTTTTATATGAAAGTAATAATAAACATACAGTAAATTCGGTGATTTCTGGATGGGTTTTTAAAGATTCTGATAAATCATCAAAAAAGTCACTTCTCATTATGTGTTTTGGACCAACACACAATGTATCTATATCACTATTAGGGCCATGAACACCCAATCTATAGGAGCCAAATGTAAATATCTTTGCGACTACCTCTGCTGCTGTTTGTTCTGGGTAACCCTGTAATTACATTATTAATGATGATGTTAATATTTATAAGTTTTAAAATAATGGTTATAATAATAGTTTTGAGATTTACCTTTTTAATACTAACTTGTTTTGCCCATTCTCTGACTATTTGATTTAGTTTGCCTAATACCTCTTCTCTTTTTCTACTTTCTTCAGGACTTTCGAATAAATTGAATGATATTAATGTATTTTCTAAATCATTTGATAGTTTTAAATCTAGTGCAGATGGTGGAGAAGTTGAAATTGGCTCTGTTACACCTAATACTACGGTTCCTCCATTTGGTGCTGTTGGCGATTTAACATTTGCTATTGATAATGATGCTGGTAGTGGTGATGATATTGTAGATCCAATTGTTGGTGATACAACATTGTTTTCTGTTTCTCCATTAGTTTTCATTTTTCTTTAAATAAATAATTGTTTGGTGTTTTGTATGTATTACAATATAAATATTTATATATTATAAATACAAATATAAATATAAATATAAATATAAATATAAATATAAATATAAATATAAATATATTTAATTATAATATTTTTATTTAGTTATTAAAATTTATAAATAAAAAAACATAAAAAATATAATATTGTAAGTATAAAAAATAAATTTTTGAAAATAAAAAAAAAAAAAAAATTAAAAAAATTTTTTTTTGAAAATAAAAAAAAAAAAAAAAAAAAAAAAAATTAAAAAAAATTAAATTGAAAATTTTTTATTATAATGATTAAACGAAAATTAAAAAGTTTTCCATTTTAATTATCAGAAATTACAATTTCTAAAAATAATAATTTGTCAAAATTTGTAATATCAGACGAACCTCCTTGAAATGAAACATCGAATTCAGAAAGAGGGCCTTCAGATTTTCTTAAAATACTAAATCCTATTTTAAAAAGTGGGTTAATAAATAAATAAATTACAGCATTTATAGATTCTAATATTTACCTGATCTACAAAATCTTTCTTCTAGTGGCATTTCAAAACTTCCACTTTTGATTGGATTGGGAGCAAGACTACCACTTTCAAAATCATGCTTTTGAATAAATCCGAAAAATCCTGTATCTAAACAGAATTCATTACTTTCCATTTTTGTAAATAAACGAATACTGACATATTTGGGTTCACTTAATTTTATTAAAATACTTGGATCTGTTTTGAGATAGAAACCATAACAATCAGTAATTTGATCTTTTTCTTTTGGAACCATTCTTGGACATCCACTAATATCTTCTATTGACCAATTACCAATAAAGTTAACACCATCGACACGATAAATAAATGGACGAGCGTGCATATTAACATCAATTTCAACAACTGGTCTTGAGTATGAAAGCTTTAGTCTCTTTCTACATTAATAAAATAAAATGAAAATGAAAATTTAAAAAAAGTTAATAAATTATTATGGTGCCATTGTTTAAAAAATTCTAATAAATACTTACACATCAGCCATTCTATTAAATGATGGAACAACAGGTGCTTTAAATAATGGTACTGGGTAAAGGACTGGGTCCATTTCAAGCATTTTTGAAAGATTATCAAGACCTGGTTGAATTTTATAGAGACCGTTTTGTAAAGATTTCAATGTTTTTTGGATATTAATGTGAAGTTTATCCCTATATGAATGTGTTGCTTTTCCAGAGGCTGTTGCCGGGGTACTATAAAATAATATTGTTAGTAATTTTTTATTTTTTTTTTGTTTTTTGTTTTTTTTTCTTACCCCCTAAATTAAATAAATAAAATTAAAAATTAGTAACTTTTAATTTTTTTAATCAATAAATCTGTTTTATCATACCTTGCATATTCGCTAACATATCCATATTGATACTATTTTAGATAAATATTAGTACAGTTGGAAATATTTGTTTTTTTAATAAAAATTACTCACCCAATAGTTTATCAAGTTCTGCATGCAAAAGATATAAAGATATGTAATGTCTACAAGTTGATTGTATACATATGGAACGAATTTTATATCTTGTAAAAGTGATAGTAATGCTTTAATACTATCCCTGAAAATATCATATTTACCTCTCAAACCTGTTAAGAATGATCCTTCTGGTTTTTCAATTTCTTTTTTAGATAGTTTAAGTTTTAAAATGTCTAAATCTTGAATTAATTCTTTCAATGAGGAATTATAAAACCCTTCAAATGCACCCTTACTAAGAGTTTTATATTGTTCTATTCTGGGGTATAAAAAAAAAGGTAAATTATATTATATTTAAAATTTTAATTGATTTTATATACTTACTGAGACTTTTCAACTATTATAAAAAAATATTAAAAAAATTAATAAATAATTCTTTTTTATTATAAAAGTTATATACATACGTTTTTGATCAATTAATTGCTCCATCTCTTGTTTTAATGCTTTGATCTTTGAATCTAATAAATTTTCAACTTCTTCTTTTGAAAGTGCTTGTCTATAAAAATTTTTATTAATAGATTGTTTTATATAAAATTTAATTTTTAAAATACATACACTTTTGTTCTATTTCTGAAAATTTGATAAAAACCTTGACAAATAGGTCCAATTGTTGGAATTAAACCAATTACAGCCACACCCATTGTTTCAAGATCATCAAGGTTTGGTTTCATAGTTGCAACCCCAATTTGTAATGGATCTTGAACAGGGGCAAAGTCACCTATAAAAAAGAAAAAAATATTTATTTTTGATTTATTCTTTGTTTTTTTTATTAAAATATAATTATATTTAATAATTACCTTCTTCACCATCATCTCCTGTAAAACCTGCTGGAACGATAGTGTTTAAAGGATCTTCTTTAAATTCTTTTGTTATATTTTCATTTAATTTTTCTAAGTCAAATGGGTTCTGAGTTGTTGTTGTAGCCATATTATTTATTTAACTGTTTCTTTGAGGAAGAAAATTTATAAATAGTTATTATTTTTTTTTTTTTTAAAAAATTGTTTTTATACATTTTTTTTTAAAATATAATATTATATTTTTTTAAAATATAATATTAAAAATAAAAAATAAATTTTTCCAATCATTATAATAATTTAGATTGTCAATTTACATTTTTGCTTTTTTTGTCGTTATGGGTGTTGGGATCATCAAAAATAATTAAATCATTAAAAATTTATTTTATTTTTTTATTTTTTAATTTGGAATTATTTAAATTTAAAAAAAAAACACATTCCAAAAATTATTTTATTATTTTTTTTTTTTTAATTTTAAATTTAAAAATATAATTTATATAATTTGGTTTTACAGGTTCGAAACAAGGTAATAAATATTTGTTGGCATCTAAGGTTTTTATAAAATATATATTTATAGTTTTTAGATTAATAATAGGTACTTTTTCACCAGTTAATGATCAACATGACCTAGGAATCGAGAAATAGAAACCATGTCTTGAAGACTTAGAAATTTTAACATGCTCTTAATTGGTTGCATTCCAAAGTAGGTCCTTTATGCCAGTAAATATAAAATTTTTTTTTATTTTTTATTAATTTTTTACTGATAGATTTTTTTTTTTTAGAGGTGTTTTTACTTCATTTGTCGGGCTTTTTAAAGAGTAGGTTTTTATTTCATACAACGTTACCAAACAATTTAATTAATATTTTCTTTTAATATTTAGAAAGCAGCTTCCCGCTGAAGATATAAAAAATGACAGATGAAAAGCTTGGAAAATTAAAAGAAGAGTTACTATTGATGAAAAAGGTAAATAATAAATATATTATTTTTTATTTTTTTTTTATAAATATTTTTTTCTAAATTTTTATAAAGTCGAAAAAGCAAAGTAAGGTTTATAATATAACAAATGTAATTTTCAGAATTGATGTGCATTTTGTTTAGGCTCTAATGATACTAAAATATGTAATGAAGTTGACTCTCACTGGTTGTAAGGGAGTTTATTTAAAAGCAGGTCCTAAATTCAATATTAAAATTTCAGAACCAAAATATGTAAGAGTTCGTTTATTGCAAATGATAAGTCCATTTCACCCAATTTAAATTTATCTTCAAATAACTCAATTGGTGAGAGTCACTGGAATAAAATTCAAGATGAATTTGGGTCATTACAATCAACAAAAAGTGAAAATCAATGTTCATACACTTCTGGCTTTGTTCAATCACAAAAATCAAAACAAAAGAAAGTGAACTTAATATTCCATTATCAGATAAAACAAATAATAACAATAACAAATTGTTATTTATTGAAATTATTGTTTCAGATTCATAAAAAAATAAAATAAAAATATAAAAAAATCCCTTTAAACTTTTTTATATTAATATACTAATAAACTTGAATTAACTAAAATATTTGATTTATACTTGGGTGGAAAAATAAATAAAAAAAATTTATAATAAGAAAGGTATTGACAACTCTTCAAAATATTCTTTGCTGTACTTTTCTAATAATAAATTAAATATTTCTTTTATAACTGGATAGTCTGCATGTTTTTGAGAAATTAATAATTTATAAAATAATTCCTGTATTGAATCTTCTCTAATGAATAGATAATTATTGTGTATTAATTTATCTTTTATTAATGAATATTGTTTACCAATTAACATTAATTGAAGATCGAATGTATCATTAAATTTCCTATTTTGAAATAATATTGATTCTTTATCAATCCAATCAGTAAAATGGATTTGATTAATGATTAAAGGATAAGATTATTCTCCAACCTAAAAGCTAAATCCATATTCGCTTAATAAATGTCTTTTTCAATATTGAAGCAGCAATAATTTTAATAAAAAAATTTTAAAAAAAAAAAAACAAATTAAATTTAAAATTTTTTATTGTAACCATCAAATAAAAATTAAAAATTTAAAACTTTTTAGCCAGTTTAAATTTAATTATCAGAAATTACAAGTTCCAAAAATAATAATTTGTCAAAATTTGCAATATCACATCCACCTGTTTGAACTGAAACTTGGAATTCAGGTAGAGGGATTTCGGATTTTCTTGAAATACTAAATCCTATTTTAAAAAGTGGGTTAGTATTTAAATATATTATAGCAGTTAGGGAATAAAATACTAATATTTACCTGATTTACAATAATTTTTTTCAACTGGCACTTCAAGATCTTCAATTTTGGTTGGATTGGGAGCAAGACTACCACTTTCAAAATCATGCTTTTGAAAAATTCCGAATTGGCCTGTATTTAAAAAGAATTGATCCCTTTCCATTTTTGTAAATAAACGAATACTGACATATTTTGGTTCACTTAGTTTTATTAAAATACTTGGTTGTGTTTTGAGATAGAAACCAAAACAATCAGTAATTTGATCTTTTTCTTTTGGAACCATTCTTGGACATCCACTAATATCTTCTATTGACCAATTACCAATAAAGTTAACACCATCGACACGATAAATAAATGGACGAGCGTGCATATTAACATCAATTTCAACAACTGGTTTTGAGTATGATAGTTTTTGACTCTTTCTATATTAATAAAAATAAAAATGAAAATTTTAAAAAAGTTAATATATTATTATGGTTCCGTTGATTAAAAAATACTTACACATCAGCCATTCCATTAAATGATGGAACAACAGGTGCTTTAAATAATGGTACTGGGTAAAGGACTGGGTCCATTTCAAGCATTTTTGAAAGATTATCAAGACCTGGTTGAATTTTATAGAGACCGTTTTGTAAAGTTTTCAATGTTTTTTGAATGTTAATGTGAAGTTTATCCCTATACGAATGTGTTGCTTTCCCAGAGGATGATGCTGGTGTACTATAGAATAACAATTAGTAATTTTTATTTTATTTTTTATTTTTTATTTTTTTGGCTTACCCCCTAAATTAAATAAATTTAAAAATTAGTAATTTACAACTTTTAATTTTTTTTAAGATATAAATCTGTTTTATCATACCTTGCATATTCGCTAACATATCCATATTGATACTATTTTAGATAAATATTTTTTAGTATAATTGGAACTAATAGTTTTTTAATAAAAATTACTTACCCAATAGTTTATCAAGTTCTGCATGCAAAAGATATAAAGATATGTAATGTCTACAAGTTGATTGTATACATATGGAACGAATTTTATATCTTGTAAAAGTGATAGTAATGCTTTAATACTATCCCTGAAAATATCATATTTACCTCTCAAACCTGTTAAGAATGATCCTTCTGGTTTTTCAATTTCTTTTTTAGATAGTTTAAGTTTTAAAATGTCTAAATCTTGACTTAATTCTTTTAACGAGGAATTATAAAACCCTTCAAATGCACCCTTACTAAGAGTTTTATATTGTTCTATTCTGGAGTATAAAAAAAGAGTTAAATTATAAATTAGATATAAAATTCTTATTGGTTTTATAAACTTACTGTGACTTTTCAACTATTTAAAAACAAATATTTAATTAATTATTAATTCTTTTTATATTGAAAGTTAAATACATACGTTTTTGATCAATTAATTGTTCCATCTCTTGTTTTAATGCTTTGATCTTTGAGTCTAATAAGTTTTCTACTTCTTCTTTTGAAAGTGCTTGTCTATAAAAATATTTATAATTAGATTGTTTTATACAGAATTTAATTTTTAAAATACATACACTTTTGTTCTATTTCTGAAAATTTGATAAAAACCTTGAACAAGAGGTCCTACTGTTGGAATTAAACCAATTACAGCAACACCCATTGTTTCAAGATCATCCAGGTTTGGTTTTAAAGAAGCAACCCCAATTTGTAAAGGATCTTGAACTGGAGAAAAGTCACCTATATAAAAGAAAAAATAGAATTAGAATTAAATTATTTTCTTTTTTGAAATTATATTTAATAATTACTTTCTTCACCATCATCTCCTGTAAAACCTGCTGGAACGATAGTATTTAATGGATCTTCTTTAAATTTTTTTAATGTATTTTCATTTAATTTTTCTAAGTCAAATGGATTCTGAGTTGTTGTTGCCATGTTTTTTATTGAGTTGTTTTTTAAAGAAAAATATAAAAAATAAAAATTTTTAAATTGAGTTCAAAAAAAAATATAAAAAAAAAATATATAAGAAATATATAATTTTAATTAAAATTAAATAAATAAACAGTTCAGATTATTATAATAATTTGGATGGTTAAATTACATTTTTTCTTAATTTGTTTGGTGATGTAAATTTAATCATTAAAAAAACTATTTATTTTTATTTTAATTTTTATTTTTTTAAATTAAAAAAAAAATTTTAAAAATACTTTTTGGGTTGTGTTTTTTTTTTTTTTTTTAATTTAATTTAATCAATATCAATTTATTTTTATTTTTTTTTATAAGTAGTCATCAAATGTCAGATTCAGTTATTGTTGAAGGAGAAGCCAAAACTTTTAATTTGCAAGAGTTAAATGATGAAATTATTCAAAAGTATACTGAACAACCTCTGCTTGTAATAGTTCCATTCGGTTTTACAGGATCTAAACAAGGTAATATTTATTTATTAGCATCTAAGGTTTTTTAAAATATATTAATATGTTTTTTTTACATTAATTATAGGTACTTATTCACCAGTTAACGATCAACTTGACTTAGGAATGGAGAAATACAAACCATGTTTAGAAGATCTAGAAATTTTAACATGCTCTTTGATTGGTTGCATTCCAACAGTAGGCCCATTATGCCAGTAAATATTAAAACTTTTTTATTTCATTTTTTTAATTTTTTACTAATAGAATTTTTTTAGAGGTGTTTTTACTTCATTTGTTGGGCTTTTTAAAGAGTAGGTTGTTTTTATTTCATATTACGCTAACAAGTTTAATTTTATATTAATTTTCTTTTAACATTTAGAAAGCAACTTTCCGCTGAAGACATAAAAAAAATGACAGATGAAAAACTTGGAAAGTTAAAAGAAGAGTTACTTGTTACTATCGATGAAAAAAGTAAATAATAAATATTTTATATTTTTATATTTTTATATTTTTATTATTATTAATATTAATATTTCTTTTAATTTTTTTTTTAACTTTTATTAGTCGAAAAAGCAAAGTAAGGTTTAATATAACAAATATAATTTTAAAAGTATTAATAGTTTTTTTAAATAATTATAGAATTGAAAATTATAAAAAAATATGTCAAAATTCTTTTATTGGATTCTCACAATCAAGTTTAGAGCTTTTAATGGATGATTTAAGTATACTTAGAAAAAAATTAGAAAAAAAAAAGACACCAAAAAAAACTTTCATGGACGGATTAAGACAAAAGTTTGATCTTTTCAGAATCAATATCAAATCTCTTTTCCCATTGTTTGAAGAAAAAAAATACTTAGAGTATATTTATAAACAATATTTAGATTTAATATTTTTATATATTATGTGTATGCAGAATTTGATGAACTTTTGGGTAAGTAATTTATTTTATAACATAAAATTAAAGCTTTTACTAATTATTTTTTTATAGTACCAATATCAGTTTGATGCTTGCTATGCCAGAGGGTAAGATTTTTAACTATAGGATATCTTTTAAATATTTTTATTAACATTTTATATGAATAGAACACCAGCAATTCCAGAGTATAATATAAAAGCTACTCATTCATACAGAGAAAAATTACACATCAATATCCAAAGATTTTTACAATCATTACAAGATGGTCTTATTACAAATAAACCTGGTTTAGAAAAAGCTTCAATAATTTTAGAATGTGACCCAATTCTTTACCCTGTCCCATTGTTAAAAGCAAATAGCTCCGATTATTCAGATGGTAATATCCTGATAAATGTAAAGCAAAGAAGAGTACCTTTTATTTTTAGAATTGATGGCGCATGTTGTTCAGGCTCTAACGATACTAATATATCAGATGAAGTTGACTCTCTCACTGGTTGCAAAGGAGTTTATTTAAAAGTAGGTCCAAAATTCAATGTTAAACTTTCGGAGCCTAAATATGTAAGAGTTCGTTTATTTATTGCAAATGATAAATCGAATTCTCCCAATTTAAATTTATCTTCAAATAACTCAATTGGTGAACATAACTGGAATAAAATTGAAGATGAATTTGGGTCATTACAATCAACAAAAAGTGAAAAAAAATGTGTATACACCTCTGGTTTTGTTCAATCAAAAAAATCAAAAACAAAAGAAAGTGAACTTAATTTTACAATATTGGATAAAACACAAAATAACAATAACAAATTGTTATTTATAGAAGTTATTGTTTCAGATTCATAAAAAAATTAAATAAAATTAAAAAAAACTAATGTTGATGCAATCTAGTTATTTTTTGGGTCTATTTTATATTTATATTTATAATAATTTACTATTATAAAAAAAAATAATAGTAAAAAATAATTCTATGGTGATAACAAAAAAATAAAAACAACTTTTTTAATATAAAAAAAAAAAAAAAATAAAATGGTTAAAAAAATAGAAAATTTTTTTTTAAAAAATAAAAAAAAAAAGGGCGGAAAAGAAACAAATTATGATTTACGTATTTGAACTGTTATTTTGGATCTAATTGGCAAATTTTAAAAGTGGATAAAAATGAATAATTTATTTTAAAAAAAAGATAAAAAAGAGATAATATTTTTTTTAAGAAGTGGATAATGAACACGATAACGATAATCGGTAAAAATGGAGATAACGATAATTTTAGAACTCTATTTTATTTAAACTATTTTTTTAATTTAAAGAATCACATAAAAATCTACTAACAAATAAAAAGATCGATAAAAAAATTTATAATATAAATAATTAAAAACCTATTTAATAATTCAGTCTGTTTAATAATAATTTTAATAATAATTTGTTTATTATATAATTTATATGTTTTTTATATTTTTATTTATCAACAACCTTTTTTTTTTTCAAAACTATTTTAGTGAAGCTAAATTACTTGTTAATTATCAGAAATTACAAGTTCTAAAAATAATAATTTGTCAAAATTCAATATACCTGAACTACTTGGATTAGCTGTAACTTGAAATAGAGAAATAGGGGTTTCGGATTTTTTTGAAATACAAAAACCTGTTAAAATTATTAAAGAAATTGTTATTATATGTTTTATTATAAAATATTTAATCTTTTTTATTTACCTGAGTACTTATTTGTTTTTTCACGACATGGTAGTTCTCTATCACCAGCATACATTAGAGTTGAAGCAAGACTACCACTTTCAAAATCGTGCTTTTCAAATTCTCCAAACATTCCTGCATTTAAATAGAATTCATTACTTTCCATTTTTGTAAATAAACGTATACTAACATATTTTGGTTCACTTAATTTTATTTGAATATTTGGTTGTGTTTTGAGATAGAAACCATAACAATCAGTAATTTGATCTTTTTCTTTTGGAACCATTCTTGGACCATAAATATCTTCTATTGCAAAATCACCAATAAAGTTAACACCATCGACACGATAAATAAATGGACGAGCATGCATATTAACATCAATCTCAACAACTGGTTTTGTGTATGATAATTTTTGGGTGTTTCTATATTAAAAATGAAAATTTAAAAAAAGTTAATATATTATTATGGTACCATTGATTAAAAATATTACACATCAGTGATTCTGTTGAATGATGGAACAACAGGTGCTTTAAATAATGGTACTGGGTAAAGAACTGGATCAATTTCAAGCATTTTTGAAAGATTATCAAGTCCTGGTTGATTTTTTTTGAGAACACTTTCCATTGATTTCAAAGCTTTTTGAATATTAATATGAAGCTTTTCTCTATAAGAATGATTTGCTGATGAACTGTTTTAGAAAATATATTAATAAAAAAATAATTAAAAAATATCTATATTTGTATATGTTACCCTCTATTTATAAAAAAAATTATTAATATTTTATAATTATAAATTTAATTCAATAGAAGTTATTACCTAGCATATATTGGATCAAATCCGTATTGATTCCAAAACGACATTAAGTTTAGTAAACACATGATGTAAATATACATTAGCTGTACAAATTGGGTGTAAACATGAGGAAGAACATTTTCATTTGTGAATAATGGAATTAAAGCTTTGATTTTGGTTCTAATAATATCAAATTTTCCTATTGATTTATTTATAATTATTAGTAAAGAAATTTATTTGTTAATTTATTTAATTAATTTATACTTGCCTCTTAAACCAACCATAAATCCATCAGTGGGGTTTACCTTTTCTTTTAATAATAATTTTTTTTTGAGGATATTTAAGTCATCAATTAATAGCTCCAATGATGAGTTACATAAACCTTTAAAAGCCTTATCACAGATAGTTTTATATTGCTCAGCTCTAAATATAGAAAATTAGTTATTATTAAAAATTTTAAACATAATTTTTAAGATTTATATTTACTCTGATTTAGAAACTAAATTTAAAAAAATTATTATATAGTAGTTAATAATAAATATATAATTCTATGTTAAAAAGCATGTACTTACTTTTCTGATCAATAATATGTTCTAATTCAACTTTAAACTTTGCAATTTTTTCATTAATGATTTTTTCAACAACATCTTTGGTTAAAGTTTCTCTATAAAAAATCATTAGTATATATATTAATTAGGAACATGCTTAATATATTTACTTACTCTTTAGTACGAGACATAAATACTGAAAAAAAACCTTGACATAAAGCTCCAACTTCTGGGATACAGCCAATTACTGAAGAAACACTTAACTCTAAATCACTAATGGGTGTATATAGAGTAGCAACATTAATATCGAGGGCATCAACAACTGGATTATATAGGTCATCTGTTTTTTAAATAAAATAAATATAATTAAATTTAAATTGGTTGAGTTTTTGTATATATAGATAACATATAGATAGTATATACTTTTGTCTTCACTTTTACCAGTAAAGCCTATTGGAGCTATTGTTTGCAATGGATTTTCATCTAATTTTTTTGTAACCTAATTAAAATAATTTGAGTGTTAATAAAGAAATATAATTTTTTTGATTTATAAAATAATAATTACCTCTTCATTTAATTTATTTAAATCAAATGTTTGAATAAATGTTGTGTCTGCTGACATATTTTGTAATTATATTAAGTTTAATATAAGATTGAAATTAAACTGAACTGAATGTTTTTATATAAAACTGAATTTAAAAAAAAAAGAAAAAAAAAATTAAAAAAAAATATAAATTAAAATAAAATAAATTAAATAAAAAGGTTTATTTTTTTAAAACAGATAAAAATTATATTAATAAACCAATTATTTTTATTGAGAGCTATTAACAATATAAAAACCTCATTATCATGTTCATTTAATGATGAACTGTTGAAAAATTTTAATATTTCCATTTTTTAATACATGCTGAGTAGTTTGGCCAGTAATGCTAATTTTAGAATTGTTATTAAGACATTTGGTTAAATTACAAATTTCTTTTTCAATTTTTTTATTATTATTTTATAATATTAAGTTTAATATTGGACTGAAATTATATTAAAAATAATAATAATAATTAAACTGAAAGATTAAATTGAAATTAAAAAAATTAAAAAAAAAAAAAATAATAGAAAAATAAATTAGTTAAAATAAAAAAAAATGGGGTGTATTTTTAAAACACATAAAATTAAACAAACTAATTATTTTTATTGGGAGTTATTGATAATAAAACCTCCTTATCATGTTCATTTAATGATGAACTGTTGATTGGATTTAAAAAATAATTTAAAATATTAATATTTCCATTTTTTATTGCTTGCTGAGCAGCTTGACCAGTAATTCTAAATTTATTTTTATAATGACATTTGATTAAATTGCAAACTTTGATATCGCCTTCTATAAATGATTTTAAAAATAAATTATTTATATCATTTTCATATCGGCTAATACCCCGATTTTTGGGACTAAGATATACATAGTTGGATAATAACAAATAGATTTCATTTGTTATAACACCTGTTATTGTAGATGGGTCCATAACTAAGTTTGGATAGTGTTTAAATAACATTTGTAATTCTAAATATTTGTATTTGAATTTTATTATGCCAAATGATTTTTCACTATCTATTAAAAAACTTGGGAATACATTGATGTATGAGCTATAATTATCCAATAGGAATCTTGCTAAACTGAAATTACCATTAATAACCATCTGAATATAAATTAAATTTATATAACGACTATGATATTCTATAAACTTGCTAAGCTCTTGGCTATTCATACTATTCGAAACCAATGAATAGAAACTATTTTTGTATCTGAGTGGCAAAATATCATCATTAAATAAACTACAAATAGTATCTGTTTCATCTTCTGTTGTTGGGGTTGATATGTTTTTATGGATTTTATCGAGAGTTTTAAAAAACAAACTAAATCTTTTAAACTTTAAAGATGTTGATAAATATAATTCTATGAATAATTTTTTGCTAATACTTGGTGAATTTGAAAATGGAATTGATAATTGGTTCATCACTCTATCTATAACGCAATATAGTGAATTTATAAAATACTCCTCATTATGTTCGGTACCCAGCACGAAATCATATGTAAATATATTGCAATCTAAATATTTAACGATATCATAACCACTTCCTATTGGCTCACCATTTACATAGTCAAATCTAATTCCTGAATACCCTGGTACATTTTCTATTATATGTTGTATTTCTGGCGACCTTATATTGAGATATGCTAAAGAATAAAACAAACTGTGCGAGATTGATACTGAGTGTTCCTTAAAGAGCTTTCTAATTATGATTAATTCTCTATGATGATTATCTATTTTATAACTAATAAATTTTTGATATATATAATTTAAAATATTATTTGTTAAAGGTGTTATTTCTTGTGATTTTAACATAGTGTTGATAAGTGTTATTATTTCTTTGGCAATGTTTTCTGGTGTAGACTTTATTTTATTAAAATGACGAGAATTGTTAAAACTATAATAAAAGTCCTTTTTAAAATCTTCAATTAAATTAAATGTCATTTGAAAACTTAATAAATCTGGACTTGGATCATAAAGAAAAAGCAGTTGAGTGAATACATTTGAAAGACCCCATAACTCTTCTTTTAAGCACCTGAATAACAAATATTCTACATGTTTATAACCCATTTTTCCAATAAGACTATCTAAACTAAATGAATTGAAAAATTTTGAATCTAAACTATAAATTAATTTGAAGAGCCAATAAAATTTGTCCATGCTTTTGATTTGACCATTTGTTATTAAATATTCCAAAATTTGATAATCTCTATTTGTGTCAGACTGTAATGGTGGGTCTATATCTAAATATGGTAAAAGATCTATTGCATCATATATTTGATCAACTAATTGCGGATTTTTGAATTTTTCACTACACTTTTCCAAAACCCTATTTAATATTATTTTACTACTAATTTCTGGTTTATTTAGAATCATTTTATTTTTGTTTGGTTTTAAACCCGAACCTAAATTATTTGAATCAAAAAGGAAACAACCATCGGAATCATAAACTTCCGAAATTCGATAAAAAATCATTAATTCAATTAAAAAACTTTTTAAATTAAAACGGTTTGCAATTGAAAATTTAAATTGTTTTATTGCTTCAAAATCTAGATTACAGCCAACATCATCACTTGTATCTTCTCTCAAATCCATACCAATAATTTGTTTTACTTTTTCAAAAAAATCTTCTTTTGCCTCATTCGAGTTACTGCATTTTTTATTGTTCCGTATACAACTGCATGAATATGTAAAATATATTTTAAAAATTGCTAAAATTTGATCTATTGATGTATTCACATTGATTTGTTTAATTTTTGGATAAACTGATAAACATTGTGTTTGATCTTTTACTAAATTTAATTTTGTTAATCTCGATATTGCTTTATGACATTCGATTTTATTTAAACCACTAAAACTAATTGAAGTTGGCAATGCTGATGCTGATGGTGATGGTTCTGAATAAAAACTATCTAGAATATAATGAATTATTTCTGGGTCTATTTTGGATTTTATATTGTGATCAATTGCCAAACTTAATGCATTTAGTTTTAATTGATTATAATTATCATTATTGTTGTTATTATTATTATTATTATTATTATTATAATTATTATATTGATTATATTGATTATATTTTAAAAATAATTCTTTAATAATTGGAAAACTGCAATAGGATAATGATTTTTCTAAATGAGATAGTTTGATATCGAAAGAGTAAGGTTCACTTATTACTTGTTTTAAAATTGATAGTTTTATTTCACTGCCACAATTTAATAAGACCATTTTAACCATATCTATTTCAAAATATTCTTTGCTGTACTTTTCTAATAATAAATTAAATATTTCTTTTATAACTGGATAGTCTGCATGTTTTTGAGAAATTAATAATTTATAAAATAATTCCTGTATTGAATCTTCTCTAATGAATAGATAATCATTGTGTATTAATTTATCTTTGATTAATGAATATTGTTTACCAATTAACATTAATTGAAGATCGAATGTATCTTTAAATTTCCTATTTTGAAATAATATTGATTCTTTATCAATCCAATCAGTAAAATGGATTTGATTAATGATTAAATTGAATAAATATTTATTATGAAATATTTTCCAAAACAATACTTCATTTTTATTTATATTATTATTGTTACTGTTACTATTACTATTACTACTATCCATTTGTTTTAAATAATATCAAAAATTAAAAATTAAAAATTAAAAATTAAAAATTATAAAAAAAAAATAAAAAATAAAAATATAAAAAATAATATTAAATTATGCGGTTTTAAATTAAATATATAGGAAATACAACAGAAATTTATTATAAAAATAAATTAAAAATATCAAAAATTATTTTTTTTTAAAAAATTTTATGATTTTAAAATTATAATTTTTAAAAAATTATAAGAAATAAAAACTAAATAAATAAAATATATTTACATAAATGTCCAATTAAACTGGGATAATTGTTACTTTTTTTTCATTACCCTATTAATTTATTTTTTTCAAAAAAAATTAATTTTTGGAATTCCCGATGATCCAAAAAACAATGATCTAATAAAACAATTTTTAATTTTGGGTTTGGAAGATTATTCTCCAACCTAAAAGCTAACTCCATATTCGCTTAATAAATGTCTTTTTTTTTATATATTGAAGCAGCAATAATTTTTACAAATTGATACTATTTTCAATAAAAATTATTATATTCAAGCAATTAAATGTATATTTTAGGAAAAAATAAACACTACTTTTGAATTTTGAATTAAAATTATAATAAAAAAAAAATTAAAATATAAAAGGTGTTGTGTTTCAATTTTTATAAATTAAAATAATTTTTTTTTTTTATTTTTTTTTTTTTTTTTTTTTTTTAATTTATTATAATTTTCATTTTTTTATATTTTTATTTTATTTTTTTCAGAATTTGTTTTATTTTTTATTTTATAATAAATCTCTTAAATGGCTTCACCTCAACTACCATCAAACTTTCATATTCCACTCGGTATAAGACATATTAAAAAAAGTCATAAAGAATCAATTATTGGAACTAATGATGATGCTGCTTCTTGTAAATTGTAAATAATTATATATTTAAAAAAAATAATAATAATACAATATTACTCATTTATTAATAAATATTTTATTTTTTAATTTATAGATCAGCTGTTAATGTAGGATATTATTCAGATCCATTTGTAAAATATTTTGTAAAATCTCCAATAAGAAGACAACCATTAATAAATAGAGGATTCTTTTCGCGTGTTGAATGTATAGAACAATTAGTCGAACAGTTTAATGGGCAATACAGCGGAGTAAAGAAACAAATCGTTAGCTTAGGATGTGGGTTTGATACCTATTACTTTAGATTAAAATCAAGAGGTACCATCGATAAAGAAAATATTGTTTATGTCGAAGTAGACTATGACCAAGTAATTACCAATAAAATTAAAATCATTCAAAATCATAAAGAACTCCAAGAGTTAATAGATAAAGATTGGTCAAAAAAATATATAGATGATCACCTCAACGAAAATAATAATAGCAATACCAACAACAATAATAGTACCGAAAAACTATCATCAATGACCAATCATCAAATAATAAAATCAGATACTTACAGATTAGGCCCAATTGATTTAACAAACATGGATACTTTTAAAATTTTTGAACAATTAGAATTAGATTACAATTGCCCAACTCTATTTATTTCAGAATGTGTATTGGTATATATTCCAACAAACTGCGGAAACCAAGTAATCGAATGGGCTTCAAAGAATTTCACAGAATCAGGCTTTATAACATATGAACAAATTAAACCATATGACGAATTTGGCAAAATGATGATAAAAAATATTGAAGTAAGTAATCAACCATTTCCCTCATTAAAATAATAAATCAATACTAATATTCTCTTTTTTTTTATTAAAACAATAGATGAAAGGATGTCCATTATTATCAATCGAATCATTCCCAGAAATTGAAGATCAAAGAAAAAGATACAACAACTTGGGTTGGAACAAAACAGAAATTTTGGACATGAGAGAAGTTTATAATCATTTCATTAACAAAGATAGAATTAAAGAGTAATTAACCATTTTTATTAATTTTATTTAATATATAACCCCCAAATACTAATTTTTTTTTATGAATTTTTAGAACCAACAAATTAGAAATTTTTGATGAATTTGAAGAATGGGATCTTATTCAAAGCCATTATGTCTATGTTTTTGCAATTAAAAGCAAAAATGAACAAATTTTAAATAGTTATCATTTTGAAGACACAAAAAATTAAAAATAAAATTAATAATATTATTAATTTTACCATAATAGTTTTTATTTTTTTTTATTTTTTTTTTTTCAAAATATATTTTTTTTTAATTATTTTTTTAATTTTTTTTTTTTAAATTTTTTTAAAATTTTTTTCACAATTTTATGAATTTTTTTTTTTTTTATTTTCATTTATTTATTTTGAAGCTAAAAGGGTGATATCACGATAAATTCACCTTTAATAAATTATAACTTCAAACAAATCAAATCAATAAAAAAATCTAAAAATAAATTGTTAATTAATCTTAATAGTTTATAATATATATATTTTCCATTAAATTTTTTTTGTAATATATTCCCTTTTGTTTTTTTTTTTCCTACCCATAAAGTTTCTTTAAAAAAGATATAAAATAAAATAAAAAATAAAAAATAAAAAATAAAATAAAAATTAATTTTGTCTTTACTATTTTATATATTCAATATATACACATATACAAATAAAAAATGTCAGATTATATGTTAAATGATGATTCTCAAGGTATTATTTAATTTTAACTTTTATTGAATTTATATAAATATATTGTTTATTATATTCATATATTAATCATATTACATTATTATCAGATAATTACAATGGCGATATAACACAAGAAGATGTTTGGACAGTTATCAGTGCATATTTTCAAGAAAAAGGTTTAGTTAGACAACAATTAGATTCATTTGATGAATTTATTCAAAATACAATGCAAGAAATTATTGATGAATCACCACCAATTACATTAAGACCTGAAGCTCAACATCATCCAGGTCAAACACAAATTCAAAATACAGTATCAACCTTTTCAGTTAAATTTGGACAAATTTATTTAAGTAAACCAACAGCAGAAATCGATGGTGTATCACAACAAGTCACACCAAACCAAGCAAGAATCAGAAATTTAACCTATTCAGCCCCATTATTTGTTGATATCACTAAAACTGTTATGACTGGCCCAAAAGGAAAAATCGAAGAACAACGTCGTAATGATGAATTATTAAAAAGAGTTTTTATTGGTAAAGTCCCAATTATGTTACGTTCACAGTATTGTATGTTATATGAAGCAACTGATAGAGATCTCACAACTATGGGTGAATGTCCATTTGATCAAGGTGGTTATTTCGTTATTAATGGTTCTGAAAAAGTATTAATTGCTCAAGAAAAAATGAACAACAATCATGTTTATGTCTTTAAAAAATCACCACCATCAAAATATTCCTATGTTGCAGAAATTCGTTCATGTCAAGAAACTGGTTCTCGTCCAACCTCAACAATGTATTTGAAAATGTTACACAATACAAACAAAGGTCCAGTCGGTATCAAAGCTACCATCCCATATATCAAACAAGATGTTCCAGTTATTATTGTTTTTAGAGCTTTAGGTTTTGTTGCCGATAAAGATATTTTAGAACATATTTGCTACGATTTCAACGATGCCCAAATGATGGATCTCATGAGACCATCTTTAGAAGAATCATTTGTCATTCAAAGTCAAGAAGTTGCTTTGGATTATTTAGGTAAACGTGGTAGTACTATTGGTACAAGGGAACAACGTATTAAATTTGCCCGTGAAGTTTTACAAAAAGAAATGTTGCCACATGTCAGTGTTGCTGAATTTTATGAAACCAAAAAAGCTTTCTATTTTGGTTATATTGTACATAGATTACTTTTAGCTTCATTAGAACGTCGTCCATTAGATGATCGTGATCATTTTGCCAACAAACGTTTAGATTTAGCAGGTCCACTTTTAGGTACACTTTTCAGACAATTATTTAAAAAACTTACTAAAGACGTTCGTCTTTATCTTCAACGTTGTATAGATAAAGATAAAGAATTCATTCCATCATCGGCTGTCAAATCTAAAACTATTACTAGTGGTCTTAAATATTCTTTAGCTACTGGTAATTGGGGTTCATCAAAGAGTGGTGGTACAAAGAGTGGTGTAGCTCAAGTATTAAATCGTCTTACTTTTGCCTCAACATTATCCCATTTACGTCGTCTCAATACACCAATTGGTAGAGAAGGTAAATTGGCTAAACCACGTCAACTTCATAACACTCATTGGGGTATTGTTTGTCCATCAGAAACCCCAGAAGGTCAAGCTTGTGGTCTTGTTAAGAATCTTTCAATGATGTCTTATATTTCTGTAGGTTCTGCTTCTCAACCAATTTTAGAGTTTCTTGAAGAATGGACCACCGAAAATCTCGAAGAAATTAGTGATCTCTCATCCATTTTCACTGCAACTAAAATTTTCGTCAATGGTATGTGGGTTGGTATTCATCATCAACCAGATAAGCTTTTAGGTACCCTTCGTCTTCTTAGACGTTGTGGTGATGTATCTGTCGAAGTTTCAGTAGTTAGAGACATTAGAGAAAAAGAATTAAGACTTTACACTGATCCAGGCCGTTGTTGTAGACCTCTCTTTGTAGTCCAAGATAATAAACTTCAAGTTAAAAAACATCACATCTCCAAACTTATCAATAATAGTGATGAATATAAATGGCAAGATCTTTTAAATGAAGGTATCATTGAATATATCGATGCAGAAGAAGAAGAAACTGTTTTAATTGCAATGACACCAGACGATTTAGTTCCATTAGCAAATGAACAAATCGTTCACACCTATACTCATTGTGAAATTCATCCATCAATGATTCTTGGTGTTTGTTGTTCAATTATTCCATTCCCAGATCATAATCAATCACCTCGTAATACCTATCAAGCTGCTATGGGTAAGCAAGCTATGGGTGTTTACATTACAAATTATCAACTACGTATGGATACTATGGCTCATGTACTCTTTTATCCACAAAAACCTTTAGTTACAACTCGTTCAATGGAATATTTACATTTTAGAGAATTACCAGCCGGTCAAAATGCTTGTGTAGCTATTGCTTGTTACTCTGGTTACAATCAAGAAGATTCTGTAATTCTTAATCAATCTGCTATCGATCGTGGTTTATTCCGTTCAATGTTTTATCGTGCATATAAAGATGAACAAAAGAAACAAACATCACTCATGGAAGAGCAATTTGAAAAACCAGATCGTGATACTTGTGCTGGTATGCGTCATGGTTCCTATGAAAAAATTGATGAAGATGGTTTGGTTGCCCCAGGTGTCCGTGTTGCTGGTGATGATATTATCATTGGTAAAACAACTCCATTACCACCACAAGAGGATGATTTAGGTCCAAAAACCCGTCGTCACACTAAACGTGATAGTAGTACTGCACTTCGTTCATCTGAAAATGGTATTGTTGATCAAGTCATTCTTACCACCAGCGGTGAAGGTTTTAAATTCTGTAAAGTTAGAGTTCGTTCAATGAGAGTACCACAAATTGGTGATAAATTCTCTTCACGTCATGGTCAAAAAGGTACTTGTGGTATGGCTTATCGTCAAGAAGATTTACCATGGACTGTAGAAGGTATTGTTCCAGATATTGTTGTAAATCCACACGCTATTCCATCTCGTATGACTATTGGTCAATTAATTGAATGTCTTTTAGGTAAAGTTTCTGCCTCAACTGGTGATGAAGGTGATGCCACTCCATTCACTGATGTTACTGTAGAAGCTATTTCACAAGCTCTTCACAAAGTTGGTTATCAAATGACTGGTCACGAAGTTATGTATAATGGTCACACTGGTCGTCGTATGGATGCTCAAATTTTCATTGGTCCAACCTATTACCAACGTCTTAAACATATGGTAGATGATAAAATTCACAGTCGTTCAAGAGGTCCAGTTCAAATTCTTACTCGTCAACCAGTAGAAGGTCGTTCAAGAGATGGTGGTCTTCGTTTCGGTGAGATGGAAAGAGTAATTTTAACCCACTGCTATATTAAAAAGAATAAATTAAATATATTTATACTAATAACTATTTAATATTTATTTTTATAGGATTGTATGATTTCCCATGGTTCAGCAGCTTTCCTTAGAGAAAGATTATTCGATCAATCAGATCATTATCGTGTACATGTATGCGATATTTGTGGTCTTATCGCCATTGCAAATTTAAAGAAGAATTCATTCGAATGTCGTAGATGTAAGAACAAAACTCAAATTTCACAAGTCAGAATGCCATATGCCGCAAAATTGCTTTTCCAAGAGCTTATGAGTATGAGTATTGCTCCGCGTATGTTCTAAAGTTTCACAATAAACTTATAGCTAACTAGAAGATTCCTATATAAATGGTTATATAGATTCAAAAAAAAAAAAAAAAAAAAAAAAAAATTAAAATTTTTAATTTTAAACAACAACCTGTATAATCAAAAAAGAAAACAAACAAAAAAATTAAATAAATAAAATAATAAAAAAAATTTAAAAATTAATTATAAAACTTATTATTATTTTTAAAACTAAAATAATAAATAAGAAAATAAAAAAAATAAAATAAAATATGGTTTTTTTTTTTTAATATTTATTTTTTTACATTTTAATTTAATATAAAAGATTTCCAACAGTATCATAGAAACAAATCATTTTGATGAATTTATCTGAAGCTTTTCCAACTTTGATAAATTGGTCTTTACTTAAACCATTTGGTTGTATGTATACATCTCTGAAAAGAGAGAATGCATAATCAATGTTTTCAGATGTGGCTAAGCAAATTGCAGCGGCACTATGGCAGGCAACAGTAACCATTTTTTCAACTTCTTTTTGACTTAAAGTTCCACTTCTATCTTCATCAAAGATATCAAATAAAGCACCTAATTTTTCTTCGACAGGGGCCTTGGTCATTAAGTATAATGCAGTTGTAAATTCTTTAAAATCTAAATTACCATTCTATGTATGAAATAAAATTAATTAATAATTTGTTAAAAAAAAATTTTCTTTATTTTTTCGATACTATACACCATCGGAATCAAAAGCTTTGAACATTAATTTCATTGAGTCTTTATCCCAATCTTTGAAACGAATACCAAAGAAATCAATAAACTCTGTTTCAGAAAATCCTTCTTTTTTATCAGCGCCACTATATTTAATGAAATCTTTTGCTAATCTATCTACATCTTCCTTTGAATATTTAGTTTTAGTCATTAATTTTGACATTTCATCTTTTGAAAGTTTAGTGCTACTTTGACCCATTTTATATTTTTATTGATTTGAAAAATAAAAAAGAAAAAAGAAATTATTTTATATTTTTTATATTTCTTTTTTTTTTTAAAAAAATTACAATTTTTTTTATTTATATTTTACCTTCAATCTGTATTACACAGTTTGGTGATTTCTTTTTTTTGTACGCGATCACAGATATTTTTTTTTCAGAAAAAATTTTGGTGTCAGTTTTTGATTTTTTAATTTTATTAAAAAATCTAAAAAAAAAAAAGAAAAAGAGAAAATTTTTTTATAATTTACAATTTTTATTTTATTTACATGTTTATTTTATATTTTATTGATCCCCAAAAGTATTATAACGGTTATATTTATCTTTTGTATTGAATTGAATTCCCTCCTCACCAATTGAAGAATTTTTTCTTTTTTTTATAAAATAAATGGCTGAAATTATTGATAAGATGATAACTGCGCAACCAACTAAAACAATAACTATTATTTTCCAAGTCGAAAAAGATGATGATTCATAAAATACCAAATTTATATTTCCTGTACTATCTTTAATAATGTTAAATTTTACATCTTGAAGATTTGAGAACTTTATATTGGTTTCATTTATATTGATCAAGTTATTAAGAGTATGGTTTGTTGAGAATAAAATAATTGTATCGTGATTTCTTGGTTTTATTTGTCCGTTATTGAGTGAAATAACAAAGGAAATTGAACCAATATTAGCATAGCCATCAATTTGAATGAGTGCTGAGAAACTATTTAATTGTACTGAACTTATTTGTAATGAACCTGTATCCATTGCGAAATTATTTTGAATATATAAACTGGGTTTATTTAATGTTAAAGTGCCTGATTCTTGAATACTAATTGATTTAGCGAAGGATGTGGAGTTTGGGGAATTAAAATAAATGTCACCAGATGTAGAATAGATTGTAGCGTCAACTTTATCATTTGAATATAATGCACCATTATTATTTATATATATGGCATGTGCGTTTAAATAGCTTTGAGCAGTAAGAGTACCAGCCAAATTTACAGTGCTAGATGAGGATGATCCAGATAATGTAAGTGACACACCACTATATATATTCGTTACACCTTGGTTACTGAGACTATTAATAAACGATGAAGATTCTATATTGAGCCAAGCATTATTTGAAATTATATTTACATGGTTAAAAGTTGATGAAAACAGCGTAACATTACCTTGTGATAAGATGTTTACAAAGGGCTGTTCAATGTTTGAAAAAGCTGTTTGATCATTAGCATCGCCAATAATAATTGTACCATTCATTTGAGCACCCATTTTTGAAATGATGAAACCTGACTGAATATATAAAAAACTATTATCTAACAATACTATCTCTTCATTTAATATTAATTTGTTATTGATGGAATTTGTTAAATATAGTTGTGATTTTTGTAATATAGCAATTGAAGACCTTGAATTTAATTGAATATAATTGTTTACTGTTACCCTTACACCACTGGTAATACTCATTTGACCTCCTAAAAACATTGTATTGATGGTGGATAGAGATGAAAAAATAGTTTGATTACCGCCAAAATGAACAATACTCGAAGAAAAAAATTCTTTTGTGAAATAAGTTGTTCCCATTGTCGTGAAAAATCCGCTACTAGAATGAAGAATTACTGAATCAAAGCTAGCATCACTGTTTACTGTAAAATTTGTATCTCCTATAATTTCAGTAAAAGTAGACCCACCCTCGAATTGCGTAGTATTACATTCTATATTTAAAAACCCTCCTAGTGTTGTATAGGTTTGATTTGAAATTAAATTATTTATTGATATTTTATTATTATTTACTTTTTTTTCATTTATATTTAAAACTGAATTTTGAATATTAAACTGATTTATGATTGTTAAATTTGAATTATTAATTGTTAAATAGGTTAATAACTCTTCTAAAGTATCTGAATCTGTAGCTTGTTGTTGACCATATAAAGTAAATGAACTTAATTCTATATCTAGCCTATTAGCAACAAGATAAATACTATATTTTACTGAATAGCTTGAAAGGTCTATTAAAACATCGTCACCATCAATTGGAGCTTCATTATTTTCCCAAACATTTCTTTTAGATAAATCACAAGGAGTGATGCTGGTACATTCCGATATTACGCTATTATTAAATGTTATTACAAAACTATTAATGTTATTAATTATTAAAAAAATAAAAAATAAATAATATTTCATTATTAGAAATAAATAAATATAAAAAAATTTTCAAATGGTAAATTTTTTTATTTTTGGTTTATCAAAATTTTCTAAAAAAAAATAAAAAAATAAGAAACATCAAAAAATATTTCTTCATAAAAAAAAAAAAAAAAAAAAGTAATTGGGACAATAAAATTTATTATATATAGTTTTTTATTTATACATTGTAAAAATAAATAATAATTTAATTTAAAGTTTATTTATTTTTATGAATTAATTAATGATGTCCATGGTGATGGTGATGGTGATGATGGCTATTATCAGTATGATTGCTAAAACTACTACTGTTGTCTGAGGAGTTATAGTGATGGTGACTACTAGAGCTATAATGATGATGATGGCTGTGGTGGTGATGACCATCACTACCGCTGCCAATACTGGTATAAGAACCTCTTCTCTTAAAATAGAATACTAAAAGACAGAAAATTATAATAGCCCCAACAACTGAAAAAATAATTACTGAAACTTTCCATGATGCAAAGCCAGAGTTCTTGTTAAATACTAAACTAATATCACCATTATCAGAGTTGACAATTTTATAATCAAAAGAGGCTCCTCCGGCATCTGTTATAAAAACAATATCGCTGGAAGTAAAATTAATAACATTTGGTAGAAAGAAGTTTGTAGAGAATAAGAAAATCTCGTCATTGTTTTCTGTACTAATGAGACCCTTCTTGAATCTAATTGTTATAGAAATTGGACCCTGAATATTTGTGTAACCACCAACTTCGATAAGTGCAAAACCATTGTTTAGACCTACAGAACTGAATTGTAATAATGATTTTGGACCCATGGTGAAATTATCTTTGATATATAGCTCTGTATTATTTAATGACAAAGTTCCTGATTTTTGAATATCAATTGATCTAGCTGTAGTTGATTGTTTATAAAAAATGGAACCTGATTCGGTATTGACTGGGGCATCAACTTGTCCATAGCAATATAGAGAACCACTTGTGTCAATATTAATAGCATGGGCATATAAATAATCTTGAACGGTTAAACTACCAAATATATCTACAGTGGAATATGACGATGATGAGTTTAAAAGTGTAAGTGATGCACCTGGCTCTATATTCAATTGGCCTTGACTATTAAGAGAGGTAAAGATTGAAACATTTTGGATGTTCAATATTAAACTATCCATTACAACGGTTACTTGGTTTAATGTTGATGAAGTTATAGTAAGATTACTTTGTGTTATTATATTTAAATTGGTCTGGTTTACATCTAAAATAGTTGTTGGGAATGCAGAGTCATTAATATAGATTGTCCCATTCATCAGGGTACTTATATTTGAAATAGTAAAGCCTGATTTGATTAACAACAAGCTATTGTCTGCTAAAAGAATTTCATTATTTAAAAACAAATGACTATTAATTGAACCTTGTAAACGAAGAGATGAGCCTTGGGATAATGCAATAAATGCCGATTCACTTCCTTGAATATAATCATTAATGTCAACTGAATAACCATTTATGATACTTATTTGGCCACTAGAAAAGACTGTATTCATTGTAGATGAGGATGAAAAAACAGTTTGACCATCGAATTGTACGGTACTATTTGATTGAAATGGATTTGAAAAATAAGTGGTGCCCATAGTTTTGAACAATTGATTACTTTGATGGTAAACGTATAATTCGAAATTTGCAGCTCCATTTACAGTAAACATTGAATCTCCATTGATATTAAAATTTTCTCCATCCATTTCTATGGTATTACACTCGATATTTGAGTTTCCATTTAATGTTACATATGTTTGATTTGAAATGAAACTGTTTATTGATATTCTATTGTACACTTCTGTTTCGTTGATATTTAAAACTGAACCTTGGATATTAAATTGATCTGATACGGTTAAATTTGAATTATTTATTGTTAAATGGGTAGCACCCTGGTACGATCTACCTTTTTGTTGGCCATATAAATAAAATGAATTTAATTCTACATTAAAATTATTTGCAATTAAGTATATATTATAGTTTACTGCAAAATTTGAAAGGTCAATTAAAACATCATCACCATTGATCGGAACTTGATTGTTTTCCCAGGACGAACTGATAGATAAATCGCATGGATTATTATTTGTACATTGTGATATTATACTATTATTAAATGTTACTGTTGAACAAATTATTAATTTTATATTAAAAAATAAAATTAATAATAAAATATTTTTATTATTTTTTATCATTTATAATTACTGTTATTATTTATTATTTATTTAAATTTTTTTATGTTTTATTATTATTTATTATTTTAATTATTTGTTAATTAACTATATCTATAAATATTTATTTAATTTTTTATTAAACTGTTTATTATAATGATTATTAAAATTTTGATTTATATACACTTTTTTTAAACTTTAACTATTATTTGACCAGTTTATAAAATTTGATTTTTTAGGACATAAGAATCTGATTAAAAAAAAATTTCCGAATTATTTCTATGTAAAATTTATTTATTTTTTTTCTTTTTTTTTTTTGATTTTTTTTATTATTATTTTAATCTGTTCTATTTTTTTAGGTGGATTTTTTTAGTTCCCATTTAAATGATGGCTATTCATGCACTGGTGGATATTTTGATTATAATTAATTAATTGATCTGTTTAATCATCTTTATTTATTAATCAAAAAAATCATTGCCGTTGCATATTATCATTATAATATTTATATAAAAAAATTCATTTGAAATTTTTAAAAAAAAAAAAAAAAAAAAAAAATTTTTTTGAAATTCCTTTTTCAAATAAATAACTATTATTAAAAATTAAAAAAAAAAAAAAAAAAAAAAAAAAAAAAAAAAAACCCTTTATTTTTTTTGGTCCAGGGCAATCTGCCCAACCCTAAAAGAAAACCCTGTAAAAAAAAAAAAAAAAAATAATAAAAAAATAATAAAAAAAAAAAAAAAAAAAGGATTTTCGTGATGTTCATTATTTCGAATAGATTTGAAATAAAATCCATATTCGTATTCTTTTTTATTTTGACATTTTTAATATGTTATTTTTTAAAAAAAAAAAAAAAAAAAAAAAAAATCTAAAAATAAAAAAAAAAAATAACAAAAATAATAATGCGAATTTTTAAATTAATTATTTCAGGGATGAGTTAAAAAAACACATTAAAAAAAAAAAGGTATTTTACAAAAAAAATATTTTTGTAAAAATAAAAACCATTTTTTTGGGTATTATTATAATAATGTTACTAAAAATAATAACATGAAAAAAACAGAAATGGCTTATAGGTGGTTAGTTAGTCGACTTTTGTCGCTTTAAAAACCAAAAAGTTGCAAAATAATTAAAAAAAAATAAAAAAAAATAGGAAGGTGACAGATTTTTATTATTTTTTTTTTTTTTTATATAATTATCAATGTTAAAAGAAATAAAAAATAATTGAAAAAGGTGGTTTAATCAGCAATGATGTGTTTGGTACATGTTGTTTTTAAAAATCACATTTTATTTTATTTTTTATTTATTATTATATTTTTTTTTTTTTTTTTTTTTTAAGGTTTAGGACGAGCCTTGGGGTTTTCTATAAAATGCAGTTTGTAAAATGAAATATTCAAGAACAATTTTCAAAATAATTTAGTTGTAATATTACAAATTAAAATATTTATTTATTATTTATATACATATATATTTTTTTTATTTTATCATTATATTTGTAACAAATAAAACATTGTAGCTTCTCAAATTTTAAAATGAGATTATTATTATTAGCATTAATTTTAAGTTTTATTGGCCTTTCATATGCCTGCAAAGGTAACTTCAACCCATACACCACCACCATTGGTCAATGTGGTTCAACCGATAGAACTGACTGGCTCCCAACTGACAATGCCCCAGTCCTCACCCCAGCTAACCTCGACCCAGCTGAACTTGCTGTTCACGAAGCTCGTATGGACCACATCCTTGCCATGGGTACTGCCTTAAAACGTAAATTTGTTGCTTCTATTTACCATCAAAATGGTACTTTAATGTGCACTGGTGTCAACATGGGTAAACCAAATATCATTTCACATGGTGAAATCGTTGCCATTAATAACTGCACTGAACTCCACGGTATTACTGTTTTCACAAACTACACTCTCTACACTACTGGTGAACCATGTGCTATGTGTGCTGGTGCTCTTGTTTGGGCTGATTTCAAGACTGTTGTTTGGGGTACTTATAACTCTGATCTCCTCTGCAAAATCTGTATGTCAAACATCCCAATGGATTCTGCTTACATCTTTGGTCGTTCATATGGTTTAAGATCATCATCCACTACTCTTATTGGTGGTGTTCGTCGTGCTCAAGCTGATGCCTTCTTTGGTTCATACTGTTCAAACCCAAACTCTATCTATTACATTCAACCAAAATGTGCCTGCACTCCACAATAAATTTTTAATTATTGAATAATAAAAAATTTATTTGAGTTTTTTTTTTTAAAAAAAAATAAAATAAAATAAATAATTATAAAAGTTATAACTATACACTATTGTTTATGTATACATTTTATTTTAAATATAAAAGTAATAGATAAAAATATATTATTTAATTTCTTTTTTTTTTTTTTACATAGATTTGTAATATTTTTTTTTTGGGAGGTTTGGTTTTATGTGGGTTTTTTTATATGTGTTTTTATTTAATGGATTAAAGATTCTCTTTCATAGTGATGGCCATGATCATAGTGATGCTGATTATGTGATAGTTTTTTTCTAATTACAAAAACTATGGTTACAAAAAATACCAATCCTAAAACTGAACCTATTACAGAGCAATATATTATTATTGTTTTTTTATCTATTTCATCAAAAAATACTAAATTAACATTGCCTTTATTATCTTGATCAATTTTGTATTTGATATATGAAATGGTATCTGTTGAGGCAAATGTTAATAGTTGTATACTACTAATGTCGATGGTACTGTTTTTATTAGAAAATAAAAGAATTTTTTCTTCGGAGGTAACTTTAACATTATTAGCCAATACAATCGACAAAATAATTGAGTTTAAATTAACCGAACCATTAACTTGAATAAGTGGCAATTTGTTATTTAATGTGGCATTTAAGATTTGTAATGTAGAGTTTGGTTCGAGTGTTAGGTTATTCTGAACATATAATCCAGATGGATATAAAGTTAATAAACCAAAATCTTGAATTTCTATACTGCTATTTGAAAACAATAAACAGTTTGAATTGATATATATAGTTTTTGCAGAAAAACCTTGTTCGAGTGTGGTATTGCCTGTTACATTTAAATTTAGGGTGGTAGATGGGTTTTTAACAATCAGGGTTGCATCGTTTAATATATTGGTTTCACCAAAGTTGTTAATACTCGATACGACCGAGCTTTCTTCAACAGTTAACGATGTTTGATAGTTTGTAATATTCACTGTATTTAGAGTTGATGATAACAAAGTTATATTGCTCTTAGAGGAAATACTTAGATATGGTTGCTGAACAGATGATATTGTTGTGGTGCTTAAAGATTGGTCAATAAATATAGTACCATACATTGGGGAACCCATGTCGGAGATGTAAAAGCCAAGTTCTAAAAATAAAGAGCTATTATCCAATAATAAAATTTGATTTGAATAATTATTGTTCTTGTTTATTGTACCCAAAAGAGAAACACTTGATTTATTTGATACCACTATAATAGAGGACGAGTTCATTTGAATATAATCTACCATTAAAAAAATTAAACTACTATCTATATCAAGTCTCCCAACTAATATTGTTGTATTGAGTATTGCTTGAGATGAAATATTTGTTTGTGTACCAAATTGAACACTGCCACTAGAATAAAAAGATTTTTGAATGGTGGAAATACCATTAAAATTTAAAAAGCCACTACTAAGATGGGTAATGGGTGCCTTGATGGTTGCGGTACTATTCACGGTAAATGTTGAATCATCCCTTAAAAAAACATACTCGGTGCCAATTAAAGTGGTTGTATTACATACAAAGTTTGTGTAGCCATTGAAAGTTAGGTTGTTTTGGTTTGAAACAAAGTTATTTATTGATATTGTGCAGGAATTTTCAGTCTCTGCAAATGTGATATTTGAATATTGCGCATTGAAGTCGCCTGCAATTGTCAAATTAGAGTTTTGAATATTTAGGTTAATTTGAAAATTTTCGGTTTGTTGTGGGCCATTTAATTGAAATGAATTTAATTGAATATTTAGGTTATTTACAAGTAAATAAACATCGGATGTTTGAGATACTACAGTTGAAAAATCAATGATCACATCGTCTCCATCGCTCGGAGCAATGTTATCATTCCATACCGACTTTGAAGATAAATCACACGGCACTTCATTTGTGCAGTTTGATATTATTACTGTATTATTAAAAGTGGCTGTGGAACAAGTAATATATTTTATATTTAAAATTATCAAAATAATTATTAAAATATAGTGATTGGAAAATATAAACATTTTTTTTATTTATTTTTATTATTAGGTTTTAAAAATTAATTTTGAAAAAAAAAAGATGAAAAAAAATAGGGAAAAATTATAGGGAAAAAAAATAGAGAAAAAAATAATAAAATTAATAAAAATAATTAAAATTTTAAGAGTGATGTGGATGTTTAAAATGGATAAATATCAAAAAAAAAAATTAAAAAAATTAAAAAAAAAATACTTTTGTCATCATAATTTTTGAAATCTATAAAGATTTTTTTTTTAAAACATTCGCGAAAAAATAAAAAAAGATATTTTTTTATCAATCTATTTTAATTCAAAAAATACAAAAGTTCTATTGTTTTTTAAATTTTTTATTTTTATTTTTTATTTTATATTTTTATTTAATATTTTTTTTTTTTAACGAATTAAGGGTTTTTGTTCGTGATGGTGATGGTGATGAGGGTTCTTCTTTCTTTTATAGCAACAAACTACGATTATTACGATTAATACTACACCAGCAACTGAGCCAGCTACAGCACCAGCAATCAAACCGGGTGAGGGAAAGTTTTTATTTTTAAATTCCAATTTATAAATACCTGTTGAATCTCTTTGGAGTAAAGGATTAAGATTTACTAAAGAACCACTGCTGGTTAAAACTGATATGACATTAGGGGCAATACTAACTGTATTGTTATAAACACCATTGGCAACAAATAATAAAATGCTATCACTTTGTTTTACTGTGGCTTGAGTCTGATTAAGTTGAATGGTTAAGCGGGATGGGTTAACATTTAAGTTTCCTTCGAGATTGATGAGTGCTGTGACATCATTTAAATTTACATTTTTGATATTTAAAGTTGAAAATGGACCCATATTTAAATTGCCCTCAATCTGTAATGAGGGATAATCTATAACTAATGAACCAGAGTCTTGAATATTAATTGATTTGGCATTAGAATACATAGATTTGAAAAGAACTTGACCTGAAGAATAAATATCAGAATTCAAACTGCCATAGTTAGCTAGGGCTCCAGCATATGCTACATTAATTTGTTGAGCGTTTAAGATACCAAAAACAGCAAGGAGACCTGTTTTTGAAATGTTAATTGTTCTTGCAATTGATTGTTTATATAGAGAAAGAGTATTTGAAACATAGACATCCCCATTACCAAGGAGTGAATAAATTCCTGAACTGGTTACAACATTAACAAGAGTATTAGATTCACAGAAAACCATATTTACTAATGTTCCCAATAATGTAATATTACCACTTGTTGAAATATTTAATAATGGTTGTTCGACTTCATAAAATATAGTTTCATTATTATTATCTTGAATGTTGATGGTTCCATTCATTTCAGATGTGGAATTTAAGAACGTAAAACCCGATGGGACAAATAAGGAGCTACTATCTTCTAAAATTACTTGATAACTTACACGTGGAATATGAGAGCTATCAATTGTGCTTTTAATTATAAGGCTTGAAGATTGGGTAACAAAAATTTGTGATAATTCATTTAATGTGATATATTCATTTATCATTACATTATTACCATCAACAATAACTAGTCTACCAGAGAGGAAGGCTGTATCAATTTCGGTTTGTGATGAAATGGTTGTTGTATATGGGCCAAAACTAACAGTGCCAATAGAGTTAAATATATCTGAGATAGTAGTCGGACCTGAAAGTGATAATAAACCGGTACTTCTATGATTGATTTGTGTGTCAATAGTTGCTGTGCCATTTACATTAAATGATGATTGACCGAGTATATTAAACTGTTGAACACCATAAAGATTAGTGGAATTACATTTGACACTTGAATAGCCATCCATAGTAAAGCTGGTTATGTTTGAAACGAAATTACCAATATTTATAATATTGTTATCTGAAGTTTCGTTAAAAGCTACATTTGAGTTTTGTATAGTAAAATCGTTTATAATTGTGAAGTTTGAATTTTGAATGGTTAAACTTGTATAAAAGATTGTTTTAAGATTGTTTGTATTGGTAATTTGACCCTTCAAAGTGAAAGAGTTTAATTGAATATGGAAATTTTCACCAAATAAATAAATATTTTGATTTGATTCGTTTGAAAAATCAATGACTACATCGTCACCATTGTGTGGAGCTTGATTATTTTCCCAAATATTATTTGAAGATAAATCGCATGGAGTATCACTTGTGCATTCTGATATAATATTATTATTAAATGTTATAATAGAACTATTAATATTATTTATATTTAAAATAATTAAAAAAATAGTAAATAAATAAAAATAATTCATTTTTGTATTAATTATTTGTTTAGTTTAAAAAAAAAAAAAAAAAAAAAAAAATTTTTAAATTTATATTTTTATAAAACCTATATTTTTGGGAACCGGAAAATGGCACGGAAAAAAAAACAAAAAAATATTAAATTTTTCAGAGTTTAAAAAAAAAAAATTATCTCAAAAAAATAAATAAAAAAATTTCGGGAGGTTTGTACATGGACAATTTGAGCTAAGATTTTCTTCATTGTTTCAGGATTTTCTGAGCGTTGTTACAAATTTTTTTTTAATATAAATTAGTTATTAATTTTAATTGCCAACTTATTACAGTGCCCGAGGAAAATATGTAGACCCCCTGATATTTTTATATATGTGTTATAAATTGATTAGTTTGGATAGTTTTTTTTAATAAATATTGACACAGCCTAAAAATAATAAATAATGGTAATAAAAAAAAGTGTGGGAAATGTGGGTAAAAAAAAAAAAATTAAAAATATAAATTTAAATTTTTATCTCTTTTTTTTAATTTTTGAAATGTTTTAATTTTTTTTATATCATTTTAGATTTTTTCAAACTGAAAATAGTGCAAAAATAATTCCTAGAAAATAAACAAAATGAGGTTAAGTGATGAACTTCAATACTCAATATTATCATACAAAAACAGAGACCATTACTCAAATAGTAAAATTGCAAAAAAATTAGGTGTCCACAAAACAAAAGTGGCAAAAACAATTCAAAGATATGAACAAACAGGTTCAATCAATGACCATCAACGTTCTGGAAGTAAAAAAAAGATTCTTGAAAGAGATGAAGGTCTAATATGTTTCAAATTTTTAAATGGTGAGCTGAAGAATGAAATTAGCAGTGGTTTGGTATTATTCAACAACTGGCCACACCAGATCAGACTGGTTAGTTAAAAACGTATCGCATAGGAATAACAATGTTTGTATAATCGAGGTTTCATGAATTTCTTTTTATAAAGTTAAAAGAAGAAAAATATATAGTTTTGGATTTGACGTAAATACTGGAATGTGGACCATCGGGAAAATCATATGTTTATGGATGAAATAAGGTTTCAATAATTTGATAAATACCATTATATAAGATCTTGGGTCTATGACTCTTATGTTTTACTAGATTCAAATACTTAAATAAGTGTTAGAAAAGGTGGAGATTATGTAATGTTTTGGGGATAATTTTCTATAATGTTCCTAGAAATTAAGATCATCTTTCAGAGGGTTTTAAATGAATCTATATAAAATGAAGTTAATTTATTAGCCTTACATTATATTTAAATATTATAATCTAAATATCTTTTTTCAATATATAAATTTAAAATCGGGGGGGTCTACATATTTTCCTCGGGCACTTTAACAAACCAATTTTTATCTTATCACAGAATTTTATATTTACACTCAAAAAAAATTAGCATTTTGAAGTAGTTATAAAATTTAATATTAAAAAATTTTTTTTTTATAAAAAGATTAACAAAGATTTAATAATTAAAGTTGAGTGTTTATTTAAATATCAATTTAAATAAAAAAATTTATTTAACCAAGTAATGGTCTTTTTTCACCTCTTCTTTTATTTCTAACCATAACACCAATAACTGTTAATAATAAAATAGCACCAACAACTGTTCCAATTGAAACACCAATAGCAACGTTTCTTTTTTCATTTGATTCTTTTTTATCGTTACCATTATTATTACCATCGTTACTATCATTATTGTTATTGTTATTACTGCTATTATTATTGTTGTTATTATTATTGTTATTACTACTATTATTTCCTCCATTAGTACCACTATTATTAAATACTAAATAAACATTACCATTATCATATTCAACTTTATAAGTTAAACCATTGGTATTTGCTTGGGTATAAAATTTAATACTATTAACTTTTACAACAGCATCAGGTACTGATGGAGCTGAAACCAAAAGGATACGGTCACCATCGGAGGGTAAGATATTTGAATCGGATAATTGAATAACCACATCAATTGAATCAAGCAACAAGGTACCTTTAACTTGAATATAAGACTGAGTGTTATCTAAACTGCAACTGAAGAATTTAATTACTGAATCAGAGGAAACTTTAAAATCAGAGCTTACACTTAAAATTGAATTATAAAGAACCAAAGACCCATCTTGAATATTAATTGATTTGGCCTCAGCAGTTGGAGTATGATAAATAATGGAACCTGATAAAGAACTAAGGTCAGTATTAACATTACCATAGTTATAAATAACACCAGTGGAGCCAATGACAATTTGTTGAACATTCAAATCACCTCTAACGGTCAATGAACCACCAAGATTGATGGTAGATGCTGATGATGCTGATGAGTTTGATAACTCTAATGAACCATAGTTTGGAATATTAACTTGACCCAAGCTATTAAGTGAGCTGAAATAGGACCTTGAAAGACTGTTTAATACAATATTTGGTGAATTCATTGAAACAGAATTTAAAGTTGAACTAATAATAGTAAGATTACTATTGGATGAAACACTTAAATTTGGTTGGTTTACATCTAAAAACTTGGTATTTTGGTTTGAGACTGAATCTTCACTAATAAAGATGGTACCATCCATTGGAATAGAACTGCTGTTAAAGGATAAACCACAGGGAACATAAAGATTACTTCCATCAAAAATATAGACCACATCAGTGGTGCCAAAACTACTATCTACAGCACCTCTAATATTGAAATCTGATTGTTGGGTAAGATTAACTGTTGAAAAAGCAGTGTTAAAACTTTTTGAAACTGTAACGTTTGAATTTTGGATATTTAAACTTGTTTTGAATGATTCCTGACCGGTCAAAGCTAAAGAGTTTAATTGAATGTTTAAATTTTCAGCAATTAAATAGATATTAGCAGATGGCAAATTAATTGTTGAAAAGTCGATTACAACATCGTCACCATCGGAGGGAATTTCATTTTGTTCCCAATTCTTACTTGATGCCAAGTTGCATGGTGAGCTTTCGTCTGTACATTGCACAGATTGGCTATTAAAAGTAACCGTTTTACAATTAATAAAACCTAAGTTTAAAATTAATAAAATTAATAAAAGATTAAAAATGTTTTTCATTATGAACATTTATTTAAAACCAAATGGGTAATTTATATATAAAAAAAAAATATATAAATATAAAAATATAGGATTTTAAAAAAAAATTTTAAAAAAAATATAAAAATAAATAAAAATAATAAAAATGTAAATTTCTATTTTTTAAGGTTACCAATACCAACCTTATAAAACTATTTATTTTAATATTATTTTTTATAAAAAGAAAATTATTTGTAAAATTCAATTGTAATATCAAGATTATAATTAAAATTTTAAAAAAAAAAAAAAATTTTAATTGTTTTTTTGCGAGCTTTTTAAAATTTTGCGACCTTTGACAACTTATCTAATATGTATCTCTGCAAAAGTTACCACCATTCGTTTATTTATATTGCAACGTGTTTTTATAATAAACCTATTTAATATACCATATAAACCTATGCGGTTTGGTATTTTACCTAAATAAAAAAAAATTGAATGGATAAATCGGTTATTATTGTTATAATATTATTTTAATTCATTTTCATTGAAATTATACAATAGATATTTAAATATTTAATTTATATGGTATTAAATTGTATTATTATTATTTATTTATTTTTTTATTCAGAGACTGGAGCCTTGGCTTCACCGTCTTTTGATTCTAATTTCTTTTTGAGATCTTCTTTGGTTTTGGCTTCAAAGGCTCTAACATCGTCCATTGACATACCAAACCATTCGTCTAACCAACAGTAAACTTGTCTGTGGAATTTAGTGAAAAGATCAAATTCGATTTTCATCATAAAGTTTTCAACTCTAGTTTGAAGACCAAACCATTTGAATTCGACAGTAACTAATTTGTAACAGGTCATAATTGGCATTTCGGTGCTTTCTCTCCATTTTTCCTCTTCTAATGGACCACGGTTAGCTTTTTCTGATCTAACAAGGGTTGGATCTTCTTCTGGTTTATAATCTTTTTCAACTTTTTTAGAAATATCAATAACTGTAATTTCTCTTTTCTTTAAATCTTTTTCTGAAAGGTTGTGAATCTAAAAGTAAGAAAAAATAATAAAAAATTTTGTTAGTTTTTAAACTTATAATTGATATCAATAGTTTTCATTTGTTTTATGTCCAATCTTTATTTCTTCTGATCCAAAATTATTACTATATTATATTATTATTATTATTATTATTTAGTATTACATTTTCAGTAGCGGCATTATCTTGAGCATGACGAGATTCAATAATAAAAGTAAAATTATCACCCAAGAATGGACTTTTTAAAACGGTTTTACAGTATGGATAAGCATTCCATGCTTTTTCTTCTAATTTTAAGGCGCTTGAAGGAATGATAGCTCTAATCCAACCTGGGAGACGAGCACCAAGATGATATATTTTATGTGTATATTGACCTTCATGTTCTGGTTCTTTGTATGGTTCATTAACTAAAACTTCAACACCTTCACCATTAGAGGTTTCTTGTGAACTGGTTTTAGCAACTGAATATAATTGACCAACACGATATTCTTCGACGGTTAATGGTAAAATAACACGAAACTCTTTAATTAACATTCTGTGATATATGATATAAAGGTTCTATAATAATTTGTATTTATAATATTTTGATGAGTTGAATAATGATAGTTTCTTTTCCAAAAATATCTTATTTGTTTTATAATAATCTAAATAAACCTAAAAACAACTTTAATTAATATTTCTATTTCTTTTTGTTTAACTAAATTATTTCCTTTTTAAAAAAAACACAAAAAAACAGTGATATATATTATCTCCATTATTATTACTGTTTATTATTTTATGGATTTTATTATTTTATTTAAAAAACGACACCCAAAAAATTACAAAATAAAAAAAAAAATAAAAAAAGGAAGTAAAAAACTATTAATCTATTATAATAAATAATTTAAATAATATCTACAATTTAATTTATTTTTAGTAATATTATATTTTGTAATGTTATAATTATGTTTAAAGTTCTTAACTATAATTATTTTGAAAAAAAAATTTTAAAATTTTAAAAAAAATTAAAAAAAAAAAAAAATTGTTAAAAAATAAAAAAATTATTTAAAAAAAAAAAAAAAATTAAAGAAAAAATATAAATTAAAATATTTTTTTTTTACAGCACTTGTTAACATGATATAACTGTGGTGGCAGTAATTTTGTTGTAACGAAGCCCAAGGTTTAAAGAAACCCATCCGTTATTTTTTTTTTTTTTTTTCATTTTTTTGATTTAATTAAATATATAAATAACATTTAATAGTTTTCAAATAAAATAAAATAAATAAATAAAAACTAAATTTTCACCCATTTTATTTTAAATTTTGGTGTGGGGTTTTTTAATTTTTTAATTTTATAATTTTTTAATTTTTTTTTTTTCCATAAAAATAAATAAATATATATAAATATTTCCTCAATAGAGAACAAATAATTTTTGAAAAAGGATGGCTGTGGTAATTAAAAAAAAAAATTTTAAAAAAAAATAAAATTTTTTATTTTTTTATTTTTTTTATTTTTATTTTTTTTCAAAATATAAATTTGCAAATAAGCACCAAAGTTCTTTTTTGATATCGCCTAATATATTAATTAAAACAAAATGTATTTCCCTAAAAAGAATATATTAAAATATTCAGGAAATATTAATGTTATTAAATTTTTAAATAACATTAATATTAACTACACCAATATAAACCACAATAACAATAATAACCATAATAATAGTTATTATAATAAAAATTTATATATGACAACTATTAATAACTATAATAACTTAAATGTCAATAGAAATAAATATTTTTGTACTAAAATAAATAATAATAATAATTATAATAATGGTTTTTTTAAAAATTATAATATAAATAGTAAAAATTTAAAACTAAACGAAAGAAAGGAATTAATCGAATCATTTATTGTTGATTTAGAGGGTGGATTAATAAGAGATAAAGTATATAGGGATATCGGAATAGTGGGTAATAGTAATAAACAAGAAGTTTCAAGTGACATTCTAGAATCATTAATTAAAATCAGAGATGATTTAGAAAGATATATATTAGAAAACTCCAAGACCACAAGTACAACCAAATCCTCAGTATTAAATTCAGGTATAATAGAGTTGGACATGGTGTTAGGCGATTTAATTAAAGATAATTTAAAAAACAATGGTATACTTTATTGCAAACCATTGGACACCAATAGTATGGAGGAAAACGTTTGGAGATCAATTATAGAGAACGAAGCAGTTCATCCATATCATAATTTAAGTGACCCAACTAATGAAATTAAAAATAGAACTACTCGTAATAGAACATGCTTGGTATTGTTCCACCCAAGACTACCAAATCTACCACTCATGTCATTATATATCGCATTTACCAATGGTATACCAGACAACATTCCAGCAATCGAACTTAACGACCCAAATGCAAAAGAAAATGATATAAATAACATCGACTCGGCAATATTCTATTCAATATCCTCTCTTCATAAAGGTCTAGGTGGTGTTAATTTAGGACATATATTAATTACAAAAGCTGTAGAATACATCAAATTAAATAATCCTAAAATTTTACACTTTTGCACACTTTCACCATTACCAAGATTTAAAAAATATTTATCAAGTATGTATTAATGTATAAAATTACTGATTTAATTTTAAATTTTATAAACTAATCATTATAAATTATAATTTAGAAAATCATCAAAAAATAGTCGAAAAAATTCAAAACGAAGATTTAATTAATGATTTTAAAAATGATTTGGAATATTTGGCTTTAAAGTAGGTATTATTATTTTTATTATTAACTATATGGTTTATTAATATATTTAAATTTGATAATAAACAGCTATATTTATAAAGAAAAAAGTAAACCAAAAAGAGCATATGACCCAGTATGCAATTTCCATTTAAAAAATGGTGCCAGTATTTATAGATTAAATTGGAAAGCAGATACCTCAAAAAAAAGACTCGATGAAAGTTATGGAATAATGATTAACTACTATTACGATATTAATAATTTACAAGAGAACTCAACTCGATATACAAATGATGGCTTCATAACAACCTGCCCAATATTTAATATTCAATTTAAAAACAGTAAATTTTAAAACAGATTTATTAAAATAAAAAATGTAAAACTTTTTTTTTTTTTTTCTTTTAAATATCATTTCATTTTAATTTTTTTAACACACCAAACCATTTTTAAGAGATAATTCATATTCTATTTTTTTAATTTAAATAATACAAATTGGATATATCTTAAAAATATGAGTATAAAAAAATTTTAATTTTATTTTTAAATTTTTTTTTTATTTTATTTTTTATATAATTTTTTTTTTTAAATTATTAACAATTTTTTTTTTTTTTTAATTTTTTTTAATTTTTTCATAATAGCTTAAATTTAATAGTTTTTTTTTAAAAATAGTAATAATATTATTTGCTTGTTTGTTTTTATAATAATAACAACAAAAAGTGTTTTTTTTTTAGATTTTTAGTTTTCACCACGTAGCTTTATAAAAAAAAAATATAAAAAAAAAAAAATTAAAAAAAACACACATAGTTTTGTTAATACAAGAAAATAATAATAATAACAAATAATATTTATAATAATAATAATAATAAAATGAATTTTTTTGGTGGTAATAAAAAAAATCCTGATCGTATGTCATTTTTTTTTAATTTATAGTTACTTTAATTAATGTTTACTAATTTTTTATTTATTTACAGAGGAGTTAAAGGACAGTAAAAGAGAGTTATCTAAAGGTCAAAGAGAATTAGACAGAGAATTAAATAGACTGAAAGGTGTAGAACAGCAATATATTGGACAAATTAAACAACTTGCAAAACAGGGTAGAACAGATGATGCAAAAAGATTAGCAAATGATTTAGTTAAATTAAGACAACAAATGGAAAGATTAAGAAGCACCAAAACCACAATGTCACAAGTTTCGACTAAAACCACTACAATTAAATCAAATCAAATTATGGCAAAAGCAATGGAATCTGCTACTAAAGCAATGACTGTCGCTAATAGTCAAACTGATTTAGAAAAATTACAAAAAACAATGCAAGAATATCAAAAGCAATCCTATCGTGCTGACGTTACAGATGAAATGTTACAAGATATGTTTGAAGATGACGAAATAGATGAAGAAGCAGATGATATATTGGCCAAGGTTGTAGATGAAGTTGTACTTAATAACTACCAGAAAATGCCTTCAGTTTCAAATAAAGATGATTTGTCAACTGGCGAAGAAGTCACAGACGAAGAAATCAATAGATTATTGCAAGGCTTAAAAGGCTAAATAGATTAGTAATAATAATATATAATATCATTTAAAATTTTGATAAAAACATAATTTTAATAAAAAACTTTTTTTGTAAAATAGAACCAAAAAAAAAAAAAAAAAGAAATACTTTTATCTTTGAGATAATTACTATTATTTTTATTTTACAATGTGCATAAAAAAAAAAAAAAGAAAAGAAAATTAAAAAAAAGAAAAAGGATTATATATAATTATGATATTTATTTATGTACATATTATTTACAGTATTTCTTTTATATTTTAATAATAAAATGGGTTTTGTGTGTGTTTATGAAAAAAAAAGTTTTAGAAATTTATATTAGTTCAAAAATATAAAAGTTTTTTATATAATTTTATTGAACCATTTATTCTTGTTGTTCTGAGGTTTCTGAATCTGAGACGTTGAAGTATCTTAATTCGTAGGTGTTTTTGGTGGTGGCAACAACACGTAAGAAATCTCTAATTTGTTTGAATTTTAAGAATTTCTTGGTTAAATATTTAAGGTATCTCTTTGAGAATGGGATGGTGGTGTTGACGATGATCTTTGATTTATCACGTGAGATGACGACACTTGAACCGAGGTTGCTGAGTTTGTTGTCAACTTTGATACGATCGTGGAGGTACTTTTCGAAGGCAGCAACATCAACGATTTTACCGGCTGGGGCGGTACAATCAATGACGAATTTGTGGTTCTTCTTGACAACGGTGGCTTTTGATTTCTATAGAAAAATTATTAATAAGGTTAATATTTTTTATTTTCGGTTTTCGGTTTTTTTTTTATAAATAAAACTCAAATATCATAAATTTTATAAAAATTTTTTATAATAAATTTTCATTTAAATACAAATAATTCAATAAATTCAGAAGAAACAATTCAGATAGGGTAAAACTCATGTTTATTACTTGTTTCTTTTATAAAAAAAATTATA